TCACCATATGTACACGTACGGAAACATCTCAAATATCTTACTCCCGAAATATGTAAACATTTAACTATTCGAAACTCAAATCTGTAAAAAATACAATAAACAAAATGAATGACAAGGCATCGGTATTGTTCAGTTTCGTGTTATCAAAAATACATGCATGATCTTGAGAATATACCATAAAATTTAGAAACCATAAGAGTGCTTTGCTGTGATAAGATTGTGATTTTGATGGTCAGTAATTTTTCAGTCTTAATCTTTAGAAACAGAACTCCAAAATGATTTAAAAATAAAGAACTGTGTTATTGTGTTCCGATCAAGGCTGTTGATAGGTAATCGAGGGGTCAAGGAGTGATCAGGTTGGATGACTGGGATAATAATTGTACCGGGACCGGATATGTCCAAGGAGGATTAATGCCCGACTGCAATGAAAGCAGATGTATTAACGGTAATCTAATCCGACTTATAAAATAAGTTTCTCCTGCATTCCAGAACTCTAAATTAAAATTTTGTCTGATACACAAACTTGGATACCAAACGTATCTACACAAGTCTACATTTTTCTCGAAACGTCATACTTGAGTTAAGTTGGGTTTCTTTGTGAATGACTTTGGATATTTTCACCGACAGGTTAACATGGTATGATTAAGGAAGGATTATGGTGTTTGTATATCGCCAATATCAACTGGAGTTTCTGAATGAAGAATAACTTGTATGAAAAGAAAAGTACGGAAGAGTTTACTTTATGAAGCCGTTTCTATCATAGATTTAAATATTTCATTTATACGAATTCATCTTTCATTTATATCCATGCTGCTGATGTGTCAAACGTTGAAATATTCTCATTAGTTGACATTGTAAAAATTGACATTCATATTTCAAATCAATTGATTAAACATGCTTTTCCCCGTCTACTGATCAGAGAACCTGTGATGTATCAAAACATGTTTCTTCGTATTTGAAATCTTTAGATATAAGTAAGGCTTAATTTTCATCATTGTCAATATAATGAAATCAACGTACACTTTTAAAAGGTAACTGCTATTTTTTTTAATACAAAAAAAAACGTGTATCGAGAAATTACTTCTAAAGCCACGACATTTACAACGAAATGCTGACTAACCTGTGTATTTTACATATCAATATTTGACATTGTTTGCAAACATTTCATCTGGTATGAAGATACACGTAATTGTAACTGTAATTTGAAATAGGCAATTCTACATTATATATTTACATTTTTTTTTATTTCATTCCAAGAAAAGGCATTCTATTTGATAGAGTTGGTTGTGATGCGTGTGTAACAGGTTGTGTAAGGTCATTTTGACCACAGTTTGCTCCCTTTATGATCAATATTGGTAAGAGGATTCCTATACCAGCCTTTTGTGAGATTGCTCCTTCACTCTAAAGAGGATCTACGCTGTACGATGTAAAACATACAGGTCTTAACCTGGGACGTTTAAACCGTGATCCTAGGAGTGTTTAACACAGTGACCTATTTGGTGAGCTAGCCAAATCGAGTTGATCTGTGTACAAAAGAAGCTTTAAAATAGGATAGTACGACTATCTCAATATAAACATTAATGTGCATTCTCGAGAAAAATATAGCTTGAGATGTCTACAAATGAAGTCCAGACAAATATAGAAATACATTTGTTTAATCATAAGTTTTGAATATATTATGCACTATAATATACTCTACAGTCATATACATCACCAGTGAAAAAATCCAGTTTTGTTGCTAGGTAAACCTGTTTGGTAATAATTTAACTACATGTCGGGGGAATGCAAATTTTCCAATTATGTTTCCAAGATAACTAGAGAGGTTATATTTCATATCGTAAACTGACAACACAATTACAGAGAGATAATGATAACAGCATAAAGATGTGTTAATTGCAAATAACTCTGTCCTTGAGATTTACCCTACTTTTCTGTAAAGATACCAATTCTTTTTAGTGTTTATCCGTTTCTGTATTTATGATGTCAGTGCTACCGTTTTGTGTTACGTTCCTGTTTCAGTGTTTACTCCGTTTCTGGTTTGTTGATGTCAGTGTTACCGTCTTGTGTTACGTTCCTGTTTCAGTGTTTAACCCGTTTCTGGTTTGTTGATGTCAGTGTTACCGTCTTGTGTTACGTTACTGTTTCAGTGCTTAACCCGTTTCTGGTTTGTTGATGTCAGTGTTACTGTTTTGTTTTACGTTCCTATTTCAGTGTTTACTCCGTTTCTGGTTTGTTGATGTCAGTGTTACCGTTTTGTGTTACGTTCCTGTTTCAGTGTTTACTCCGTTTCTGGTTTGTTGATGTCAGTGTTACCGTCTTGTGTTACGTTCCTGTTTCAGTGTTTACTCCGTTTCTGGTGTGTTGATGTCAGTGTTACCGTCTTGTGTTACGTTCCTGTTTCAGTGTTCAAGTATGTTAATGTTTTTCTATTATTTGGAAACAGTATTGAAATCTGCCGACAGAGATTGATAAAGATTTGTAAACCGAGTCTGGTATTTATACGATATTAACCTACCGATCGTTTGTACTTCTCAAATAGAGCACATTTAAGTAAATATCAACAATACTACAAAGAAATATATTTCCGTGACAAATATGCCTGTCGCGGCAAAAATAATAAAAATCGTATATAATTGAAAAAATACACGCTTTATTTAACCGTAAACCAACCCGACCCTTTGTTGTGCGTTTAACAAAACAAATATCATGACTAGATCCGTCAGCCCTTAAACCCAATTATTCAAATCTAATTCATATAATAACTCTAACTTTCCCTTTAAAGTTATATCCATTTTTAACTTTCGGCGTACAAATTTCCTATTCAGACGGGGAAAAAAAGTATTCGAATCCGACAAGTCGGTAGGAGGGGATTTCAAGAGCTACAGGCATGCCAACCTTTCATTTTTTATGTCACTAATGTATCTATTAGTAGAGGCTTTAGCTTCGACATGTATTTCAGTCTGTCTATACGTATGTTTATTTGTTCCAGCCTACAATTACCTACTTAAAACACTTCAATTGTCGATAGAAGAACTGAATGTATATATCTTGCAGGGATTAGTGATACGTCGGTTGTAGTCCAGTCCTATATTGTAACTTAAGACTCCAATGATAATATTATTTCTACACACGTCTTGTGCTAAAGTTACTCTTACGAGGGCGGTTTATGTCCAGTATTTTACAAGTCAAAAATGTATTGCTATACCAAGGTGTAATGAAGATTAATTACTGATATAAATTTTTAATTATAACATTAAGGAGTTATATGAAGCCAAAGTTAGAACTATGGAAACATATATCTATATAGACAACAGTAGAATACAGATCGGATCCCCTTCCCAAAGTAAATAAATAAAATAAAACAAACAAATACACACAAATAATAATGAAATAAAATTAAGATATAGAGATAACATGTGTAGAGACACTAAAAACTATGATAAAAGGAACAACATGATTTACTATTGCTAACTGAGATGATGATACTTTTACAGCTGTTAATAAAGATTAACCTTTGTCATAGGAGTGAGTTGTTATGGTGTCTTACCCCACTGTCTAATCTAGCTCTAGTGAATTGAAAATGAAGTCAAATGGTTATTGTTTAGATAAACGTTTGAACTCTGATCAAGCTCTTATAGATGTTTGTTGTGAATTTGTTATCGAATCACAGTTAACTATAATACAACCATTCCTGCATTCTTGACGTCTAAAACGTCGGTGACACTTAAGTATGTTTATACAAGTTGTGTTGGAATGCTGAAGTACCAACTGATTGAATCTTAATTAAATCTACCAGATTGAAATGTTTATCGAGAATCCTCTTTTGTGTAGAAATATGTACTTATTGATTGGTGTAAATGTGGTTAACATGTATAAGTTGTTTTTTATTGAAACATTATCGATACATAGAGTTTAAATGCGTCTTTGATTGACAAGTTTTGCATTGATTTCACATAGTGAACAAACAATAGATATACATGATCTTGTATCCATGTGCCAGTGAAGTGTGTCCTCTTTTGTGTTGACAAGTAAGTATAGAGTGTTGTGTAAGGAGACCGTATTTGTGAATCACAGCAGGCTTTCTCTCCCACGAGTAGAAACATGAAACTAAATCAAAAAGATCTGACATATTTTAGAACACCCCCTAATCAAACACGACGCATTACGTTGTCAGGGACATGCAACTTAAAACAAACTACGTGCACCAGTCAGCATACAAATAAAGCCAGAACTTGTAGAAAATACCTGCATACATGGACCGAATTCTTTGTTACTCAAGTAATTTTGAAATAAACTTTAAATTTTGTTGATAAACTGGCTATTTATCTGTCATGATACTGCAATTCATTGTTCCGCTGTATTGCTTCTTATCATAATTTGTTCTGAAAGGTAATTTTCATTTTTGTGTACATATGTCAAGCTGTCATGTAAACCAATTTGTGTTTTGTTAGATATACACCAACAAAATGAACATTTAATATAATGTTGTTAATGAATTTACCGACGTAAAGCATGCATATGGTAAGAAGTGTCCAATAACGAGGTCATCACATCGGAAATGAAAATGTCCCTTCAGTAGTCTGTAATTTATTGTGTATTTGGCAATATAAACAAATTTGTTATACAGCATGTATATTCCTATATTATACAATACTGCATTGGTGACACGTGGTTATGTTTCAAGTAATGTTATTACAAACTGTAATATAACTAAACAAATTATTCAATAAATTATCAATTTTATTGAATTATAGATATAAACATATCAACATTCAAATTATAAATTATCTATCAGATAATGCAAATATATTAAAATAGTGCACAAATACCAAAGCTCAAGTTCATCCATGATAAAAAAAAATCTTCATACCAAGTTATCCTCACAATCAGAAAAGTTAACCTTGTCCACTATTTTTTTAATGTAATCATTATACCACTGGTAATGATTGAATTAGGAATTTCAGTAAAGTTATGCTTTACCATGATTGGGTCTTATTTTGACTCTCATAAAGTAAACATCTAACCACTATATCTCCTCTCAGCTGCTTTTGGGGCATCACATCATGAATAAAAAATGTTTAAAAAATGACCCGTCATTCATAGTAAATACCAAAGCATGCTGCCACGGCAAACACATTTTCATTTTTGTACTTGGCACATGCAAAAGAATCATTGTTTTTATCCCAAAGACACCTGCTTCCGAAATGCACACTCTGCTCCGAGTCCTGGCCTACCAAAACCTGTACCACGACCTTGTGACGAGACCACTTTAGATCTTTGACCTTCAATTTTATGTCCGCTGATAATTCTTTTGCTATGATACCACACTGTGGTCCGTCGTAAGATACCCCTTCCAATCTCTCTTTAAGCATGTCCTTCATTAGATTTTCTACCTTGTATGTTCTAAATCGTTGTTCTTCATCTGGTACCATTTTATATGTATTTTCCAGTCGTTGGTGATCGTGTAAACAAACTTTACCACCAACATCTCCTGAAACTTCAGACCGTGTATCTAGTACCCTCTTTTCGTATGTTTCTTTAGGGGCAGTCTTCTGTCCACCACCGGTCATTTTTGGTGGAGCTAATTTCTTCGTTTTAAGAATAGTTTTGGCGTCGCCCATAGTGATACTAAAAGTTTGTTTGGTAACAAAAAATGTCACAGATATACCGATGTGGGCTTTGGTTCTCGCTGTCTCCTGATAGAAAGATCTTCGTTGATTCTAAAATATAGACGACATAGACATTAGATTCCAGAAGAAAAGATTAATTTGAAAAAAAAAAAAAATAAAATAAGAAAAAATTATGAATATTTCTGCAACAATAAAATAAAACGTTTGTTATGGTGATCATTTTGAAAGCTTCTGTTGAACAGTGGTTGTCCCTGTGTATATGTGTGTATACAGACAATATTTGTACAACAACAATCAATACACACTGACAGTTGATGTGACACAGAAATCGAGCCAGATTGAAACGGCATCGAGACTAAATGCAGTGACTGAATGCACCAAGGTGATTAAGACAACAAATATGAGGAAAAAAAATATCTGAATCAAAACTTAACACAGGGATTGAGGAAACTGATATCTCAAAAGAATTTGTTTCGGTCAACCGAACAGATTTGAAATTTATACAGAAACAATGTAAATTGATAGTTTGACCGAGTCTGACTTATGGGCACATCTGATGTGACAATGTGACATACGTTGTCACAAGCCAGGGATAACATGCTGTGAATGATAAGTTCAACGTAATAACATTGGGACATTTGTAAGTGACACGGAATTTCATTTCAATATAAGACACGTGTGGATCAACTGAAATATTGACTTAACGGAGATCATGTTTACAGTTTCAGAGCGGTAATTTGAATAAACATCTCAACACAATTAAGCAAAAACAAAACAAAATTCAATCTTTGAATTAATACATTCACAAACTTCACAGGAACCACAATTCTGTACGAATGTCAACCCTAAAAATCCTAATACATGTATAATATATAAGAATGACAACTCTCAAGGAGTAACAACTCTGAAGAGATGACAAATCTATGGGAACCGATTAACTAAGAGGGAGTGACAACACTCTGAAGAGATGACAATTCTATGGGAACTGATGTAACCACGAGGGAGTGACAACTCTGGAGATGTCAAATCTATGGGAACTGATGTAACCACGAGGGAGTGACAACTCTGAAGAGATGTCAAATCTATGGGAACTGATGTAACCACGAGGGAATGACAACTCTGAAGAGATGTCAAATCTATGGGAACTGATGTAACCACGAGGGAGTGACAACTCTGAAGAGATGACAATTCTATGGGAACTGATGTAACCACGAGGGAGTGACAACTCTGAAGAGATTACAAATCTATGGGAACTGATGTAACCATGAGGGAGTGACAACTCTGAAGAAATGACAAATCTATGGGAACTGATGTAACCATGAGGGAATGACAACTCTGGAGAAATGACAAATCTATGGGAACTGATGTAACCACGAGGGAGTGACAACTCTGAAGAAATGACAAATCTATGGGAACTGATATAACCACGAGGGAATGACAACTCTGAAGAGATGTCAAATCTATGGGAACTGATATAACCACGAGGGAATGACAACTCTGAAGAAATGACAAATCTATGGGAACTGATATAACCACGAGGGAATGACAACTCTGAAGAAATGACAAATCTATGGGAACTGATATAACCACGAGGGAGTGACAACTCTGAAGAAATGACAAATCTATGGGAACTGATTAACTAAGAGGGAGTGACAACACTCTGAAGAGATGACAAATCTATGGGAACTGATGTAACCACGAGGAAGTGACAACATTGAAGGGATGACAAATCTATTGGAACTGATGTAACCACGAGGGAGTGACAATTGAAAACAACACGAATTTGACACGGTCAGCTCTATGGGCACTTGTAATGCCACACGGAAGTGACAATTATATAGGAAAGCCAGCTCTATGAGAACTATATTGTATACTTACCACGCGGAAGTGACAGCTCAGTAAGAATGACAATACATACGAATATCAACTTTGTGGGAACTAATATTACCACATGAACGAGACGTCCTACTACACAGTAATTGATAAATTGACAATACAAACAAACGAACTATTATTTAACAGCGCAGGTAATATAACAAAACTTATTGGAGCGAAAAGCAGATTGAATAAGTATCTGGACCAACAACCCGTGTAAGAAACAGAATTTAATGTTTCACTTATGTTGTACATTTTTAATGTGTATTTGGATTGATGTTATTGTCGCTATCTGCCCTTCTGTTAGTAACATGTAAGGCATAGTTACCACTCTCCTACGGAACATTGCTCAACAGAACAGAAATCATTATATATGGATAAAGCGACCAGAAGCCTGTGCCCATTATATACATATTACATCAGGCTGGATTGTATGAACACTTCCACATATGTTACTGACATTTCCTGAAGTGTGGAAACACTAGTAATTTTTTTCCGGGGATCGGAATAGCCTTTGAAATAATGTTATTTTAAATGTTTAATTGGATGTCACAATAAAAGAAATATCGCCTTTCCATTGAATTACTTTACCTCTTATTTCACGCCTAATACAATGTATATTGAGGGTTTTCTAAATCTGGCTAGCAACTTTTAAAAAGGAAGATTACGTTATCAAGACGACAAAAAAAACGCCAGACCATACAACTATATCCGTGTATATAGATACACATCAACACAGTCCTGCTTATCTCAAACATAAAATTCACAAGATATATCATATGCTTACAAAGTGTCCCATTATTTAAACTATTGGACAAATTAAGACAATTGAGAATTCTTTCCCGGGAATAACTAGAGGTTTTTTTTTCATCTTTGATAAAAAGAACATATTTAAACCCAACCATAGTTAAGATGTTTGTTCCTATGAAATAATCAAGTTTTTTAACGAATAATTAGATTTTTTTAAATCATTCACTTAACAAAAAATATTTTTCTCTTTTAAAAAAAAGAGTATATTTATATTAAGATAAAATAAAAGGCTTACCTTATGTTTTTTTTAGATAAGCAGGTATAGACGATTTCTGTCCTGACCAGATACCTTAACGTCGGTCTATATCTCCCTACATAACAAAAATGCACACCAACATAGAATATTCACGGTAGAAGCCATGGATGACAAGAGGAGAAGACGAAATTTAACCTCCTAGCAACACATCTACGTTGTCATTGTAATAGAAAATCCGGTACGCCGACTGTGTATATCCGTCTCTGGCAGCCCAACAGATATAAGTGGACTAGGAATTGGCACAACGATCAAGTGCGACTAATGCTACTAATCCACCTATCCCGTACAATACACATCACGGGTATTGATCGCGTTAGGTTAACAAACAACAAGTCGTACGGTGGGGGCTTGCCTGTTGCGTACGTACCAGGTGGGCCTATAAATGCAATTTATTATACCTTGAATTTTTGTGAAAGGTTAATTACGTACTGAGAACATAATCGTTCTATATAGTGTAAAAATATCCCACCACTTGTGTTTTAATTATATGCCATGGGCATCTAATGTATTGTGTCTGGAACGTTGTGAAATCTTTATACTCAAATCACAATTTAGCTATAAAATGTGAATGCAATTTGTCTCTTGTGGTTATGAATTATGGAGTGAAATGCACTGGTATTCAGGAAGATAAAAATAGTCCTTTGTATTTTATCATTTAAGGGAGTATTAAAGCCATAATTACCTACTTAATGTTTCCACTAGATTATCAAATTGTTTAAAATCCGGTGTAATGGGAAACTGCATTGATGAAGCGTGTATGCTAAGTGAATGATAACCAATTACGAAATGTGTGCTTAATGTTGCTGTGAAGATTCAGAGAGCTTAGTGGTAAAATAGGCGGGTTTTTTTAATAGAGATTGTCTAATGGATAATCTTCAATGCAAAGGCTATGAAGAGGACTTAGATGTAGGTATCTAAGTCAATGACTGTATGGAGGACTTAGATAAAGATATATAGATATCTAAGTGTGTGGCCATAACGAGGACTTAGATAAAGATTTAGGTATCTAAGTCAGTGGCCATAACGAGGACTTATATAAAGATTTAGGTACCTAAGTCAATGACCGTAAGGAGGACTTAGATACAGATATATAGATATCTAAGTCAGTGGCTATAACGAGGACTTAGATAAAGATATATAGATATCTAAGTGTGTGGCCATAACGAGGACTTAGATAAAGATTTAGGTATCTAAGTTAGTGGCCATAACGAGGACTTAGATAAAGATTTAGGTATCTAGGTCAGTGGCCATAACGAGGACTTATATAAAGATTTAGGTATCTAAGTTAGCGGCCATAACGAGGTCTTAGATAAAGATTTAGGCATCTAAGTTAGTGGCCACAACGAGGACTTAGATAAATATCTAGGTATCCAAGTCATTGGCCATAACGAGGACTTAGATAAAGATTTAGGTATCTAAGTCAGTGGCCATAACGAGGACTTATATAAAGATTTAGGTACCTAAGTCAATGACCGTAAGGAGGACTTAGATACAGATATATAGATATCTAAGTCAGTGGCTATAACGAGGACTTAGATAAAGATATATAGATATCTAAGTGTGTAGCCATAACGAGGACTTAGATAAAGATTTAGGTATCTAAGTTAGTGGCCATAACGAGGACTTAGATAAAGATTTAGGTATCTAGGTCAGTGGCCATAACGAGGACTTAAATAAAGATTTAGGTATCTAGGTCAGTGGCCATAACGAGGACTTATATAAAGATTTAGGTATCTAAGTTAGCGGCCATAACGAGGTCTTAGATAAAGATTTAGGTATCTAAGTTAGTGGCCATAACGAGGACTTAAATAAAGATTTAGGTATCTAGGTCAGTGGCCATAACGAGGACTTATATAAAGATTTAGGTATCTAAGTTAGCGGCCATAACGAGGACTTAGATAAAGATTTAGGTATCTAAGTTAGTGGCCATAACGAGGACTTATATAAAGATTTAGGTATCTAAGTTAGTGGCCATAACGAGGACTTATATAAAGATTTAGGTATCTAAGTTAGTGGCCACAACGAGGACTTAGATAAATATCTAGGTATCCAAGTCATTGGCCATAACGAGGACTTAGATAAAGATGTAGGTACTTAAGTCAATGACCGTAAGGAGGACTTAGATACAGATATATAGATATCTAAGTCAGTGGCTATAAGGAGGACTAAAAGTAAGATCAGCTCAAAGATATCCTTTCAGTGCAATTATTCAAAGACAGTATCCCCCCAGATATTTACTGGTCATTTTAAAAGTCATCCCTAAACTGTGTCAGGTTAGAATTTTTAAAATGGCGGGACCATCTTATGTATTGAAATGTTTCATCATACAATATATATTGTAGCAGACTGGTACTTGTCGTGTTCCCTTGCGTACCATCGATCGTCAGCAGTGTAGATCATTATGTCGATGCAATGTGGTGCTTTGAGTAAAACACGCCAATGCCTGGTAGTTGCTCTTTTTTCCCCTGTACTTTTGTTTCAGAGAAAAATACGCTTTATTTAGCGTGCTTGATAATCCTCTTTACATTATATCGATGCCTTATTCGTGTTAACTGTATGTATGATACAACGTATACTTGGAATTCGAATTAACTCCGTATACCTTCATACTGTAGGACTATGTCTAATGGTATTCTATCTATACGTATACAACTTCGTCTCAATTCATAAGAGGCGACAGTATCTATCAACATCGCTTCTCCTGTAGCTTTGTGTAAGCCATTAAGCCTTGAAACTGGCCTGGCAACTGTCTCTTCCTTCTATAGGGTTCACAATATACTTGTTCCTAATTATCTTCATCATTTGCAAGATTTCAAGATTTTAAGATTTTTATTTCTCTCAGACAACAACAATTATCTTCATCATTTGCCTCCCATAAGAAAATGTGAATTTAATTTTGAGTTTCGTTACCCAGATAACTATCAACTGTTGATGTGTAAAATAGATGTGTATACTTCAAAAATTGAATTGATCCCCTCTACATTAAACTTTTGAAATGGAATGGTTGTAATGATGATGCTTGTCATTATCTGCCCACAGTTTGTTAATTCGCGAATGGTATTATCTAATGCTCTGTTGAATATAGGTCCTTCACCGGTCCTTCATCTCGACCCTTTTATGGGCAGATCAGGAACTTCTATTTCAATCATACATATGAATGGATACAGTCACGTTCTTACGCTTAGGCAAAGCATTTTAGACTTTAGCTCTCAACAATAAAAGCAGACATCAACCTTTTGAAATCCATTGAATAAAAAAAGAGTCAAAAATATTAAAAAATGGCATACAAAAACATCTTTCACAAATTAATATTTATTACATCTGTTCACAGTTACATGTTATCGACCCATGTTGTACATGTAAATAAAGGATCCAAAGAGAAACTTACATAAACCAGTCAGAGTTACTTCCCTTCGTTTTCTATCTTATAGCGTGAAGCGAACGCACCGGATGTACAACAGCACGTTACCAAGGAAAACAGCAATGGCGGCTCCAGAGCAAAAAGTGGAGATCTACGGTTTACTGAACGATGTTACATATCAGAGAGCTCGATACTGTCTTGAGGTAATATTTCAGTTAGGATATAAAGCTGAAAAAACCCTTTCACATATAAGATAACCGATATGCCCTGGTAATGTCTTTCAAAATGGTAACATTCAACTTCACTTGTGTGTTTATGTTGCCATTGTTTGCTAGTGAGTAGTTTTTTGTATTCATAATAGTGGAAATCATAGTTGAATTAGTGATTCCTTCAATACTCATTGCTCTATATATTTGTTGACATAGGAAAGGTAGGATTTATGTTGTAAAGTGGTAGTTTTGCCGTTCATCTTTTGTTGTTATTTTGAGCCATAGTGAATTGCTTAGACCATCGGGTGCACATTGTGGGTGATACACGAAAGAAATATTATATCATGTGTATTCACACGCGTTGTTTCAACTTGAAAACCAGTTTTGTTTTTAAACGCAATGAAGAAATGATGTATTACATGAGTTGTTGACGTTTTCTTTCAATAAAAATAGCCATTTGCTCCCATAGATATAGCATGCGGCCACTGACCGGTCGATTTATTATCTGGCGTTATCGTGATGGGCCTGTCATAAGTTTATAAGTTCATCGACTTGTAAACCTCTGACATTGAGAAAAATATATATGATAGGCTACATGAAGGTGCAATGTTGAATAGCTCTAGCAACATAGTGCTTTTGTTATATTGTGTTGTCTATTGTTGACAGGGATGAGAAGACTTGGTATTACTATTAGTACCAATTGACGTACGTGTACAATTAAGTAGTAATATACAAATTCTTTGTGCCAAGCACTCGTGAATATTTTGTCAGCTCTTGATTATATAGTTGAATGTTGAAGACTGAACTTAGCTACCTTGAGCATATGAAAGTCTGAATGATTGTGATATTACATTTCTGTATTATATTTTTTCAAAGCATCATATGAATGTAAAGTTGATCAGATAGTTGTCACAATTTTCAGTTTTGAAGCAAGTACTTTAAAGAGAAATAAAACAACATGTTTCTAATCATTATATGGCACTGGTTTTGATATGTGACTCTTTGTTATTACTCATAGATCAGAAGAATGAAATTAGACTTACATGCATATTTAATCATTGATAATATGATAAGATATTACACATTTGTAATGAAATTGTATTTCCCTGTAAATTACAAGATGAGTTTGAGATCGGACAATTACTGCTTGTTTGTAATATGTTTATCTTGTGTTCCATTGTCTTGTAGGATCTTGTCAGCAAATATGGTTGTGATATATTTGTTGACCCTGTCATAAATGGCATGCTGGAGTTTGAATGGGATCTGTTCATTGATGCAAAGAGAAAGGTAAATATTTCCAAACCATAATTAACTATAGACTATATTACCTCTCCCAACATTGAGAACATCATTATTTTTTCATGTTTATTGTTCATCATTCAGTAACCATTTGTAAACATTTTACCTTTAAATTTAAAATTATATTTTCATGTCATTTTTTGCAGACTTCCATTATTGTTAGATGGACATTTTACTTGTGAAATAAAATTATGAAAGGTTAACTTGATTTGTTATGTGGTTTAAAGAAAAAAAATACGGTAAAATACTCTAGTGTCAATGCAGACTTAACACTATATGATAATAATTATTCTTGACGATAAACTATCATATTTTATATTTGAAATATTGAGTTGATAAAGTTATTGTTATTACAAATCTGTATTATTCCTTTCATAAGCGGACAATTCCAGACAAACCACAAGGAAGAAACATGAATAACTGGTGGTTTGTCAGACTGTTTCCAATTCTTAAATTTTTACAACAAAGATATTATCTCATATACATGTTTATTCTTTATGTTTATATGTATGCAAATAAACATACAAATGTAATCTTTACAACACAATTATCATCTAAAATGTATTCAGTTAACAAATATCTTTTCTCTCAGGAATTAAGAAAAGTATTTCAGGTAATTTTTACACGGTATCAATTTTTTAAAAACATTTCATTCACTTTTATTGTACAGGGTAACAACTAATTACAGGCACAAACAGCTTTGAATAATTGTTCAGAGGCAGTAAGCTTAAGAGTATATATACATGTATTGTGCTACATATTAGTATGTATATTGTGATTTTGTTTCATCAACAGAACATGTATTCTTATAATTTTTCTATTCTTTTGCATGTAATATTAGTAATGGTACCATTATTTAACTAATTACTACACAAATAAGGTAGTCATTCACAAAGTATGTAGATATTTTAATAAATATTGTGCATGATTTTTTTTCTTAAATCTTTTCATATATCATTAAAATTACATCTTAATTAGATTATCAAGGATTTGCTTACAAACATGAAAAGAAACCAAATATAAATTTATTACTACCAAAAAATGATAACACTAGTTGCTGCTGTCTCTAAGTTGCATGTATTCTTAGATTTTTTGACAAAAATAGCTAGGTATGATGGGAAGGATTTAGTAAAAAGACATTATCAATAAGTGTAGTATACAATGATTACTTCCATGTAATATTTAAGTCAGTTTATTTAAGAGATAAATGAATATTTGATGCAACATTTCACTTATATGTATTTACATGGCAGCAAAGTCATCAAATCATTTGATATCTTCCCCATCTCTAACCAAATGAGAATATAATTTCTCATCCTCAATACTCCAGGGGTTAAAATCACTTTCATTTTCTGTACCCCAGGAACATTTCCTGGCAAAATTGAAGGCACAAGTAATTTGATTGGTTAAGCGCAGGTTTCAGAAGAAAAATCCTGACCAATCACACACTGACCTTTTTTGAAGATTACAAAGGACTGACACCCAACTTCAAAGTCAGTACAACATACTGTTATGAAACCTCAATATTCAATTGATATACATCAAGTATCAAAGTAATCTTCTCATGTTATCTGCAAGGTGTCACACAGGTATGGAACCTTCAGTTTTGCCATGAAATGTTCCAGAGGTGAAGAGAGCGATAGTGAGTGCAAACCCTGGAGTATTGGGATGAAGGGGCTTTATTAATTACTGGTTCGCTTGTTGATAATTGGTTTTTGTCGGTAATGGATGCTTTGAATGGGGCTTAGTAAAGATATGAGTAGTTTTTTTATTTGTTATATATATATATATATACATTTGTGTATGTAATTTACATTGTTAAGAATGGTGATATAGATTTAATGAAGAACCTGACATAGCAGTAGTGGAGCATTTTACTTCAGAAAATGTTCTCAGATATAGCCATAATTTAAATATATGTGTTTGTTTCTTTGTTAAGGGTTCTTGAACAAACACAAAAAATGTGGATATCTTTTATCTATATTTCACAAAATCAGGTAATAAATAAAAGGTCATGCAGATATGTTATGTTTTATAAAAATATCAATTATTTTCCATTGTATACAAGATACTTTAAGAATATTTCCTCTTTATAAATTATGGTTCAAATTGGTTTAGGAATTGCGAGGAGAAACATGGACATTTGAGGATAAAGCCATTTGCTTTGTGAATGGAGAGCTGTTAGGAGGTCCAGAAAAATTCATTGACTGGGCAGAGGAAAATTTTGGGTTTGAAGAATTTCGACCATTGCCTTTGTACTCAACACTTACAGAGGAGTCTTATAAAAATCATCTAAACTCTAACAATGTACGTATATCAGTGTTTCATTGGTAGCCTAGTTTATTAAAATACTTCTATATGACATACATGTGATGACTTCAAATTGAAATAAGCTAGCTAGAAGTTACAGAAATTGTTTCTCCTATAAATTATTTGTTTGTTTTAATGAAAAAACTTTGTTGATCAGTTAAGCTCAATTCTATAGATAGTTTGCGAAATGCAAACTTCATATCTTGATATGTTAATATACACATAATTGTGTGAAATTTGGTGTTGAATGAGACATAAATTTTCAATTTTTCAGCATGAATATGTTTTCATGGACATATCAATAGGAGAGAAGGCGGTGGGTCGTCTGGTGATAGAGGTATGTGTAGTTTTATGTCTATAAATACAGAATGCCACAATTATAGATATGCACTTATTTTTAAAAAACTTGATTTTTTCCTTTCACTTTCTCCTAATGTGGTGTAATGTGTATGTATAATGATATGTTAACAGATTTTGGAATATGACAGCTGTCAAATTAAAGAGAAAAACAAAGATTAGTTAATCAGTTTTAGTTGTAAGTGACAAAATAATGTAACAATAATCAATTGATTTTTGTGTCATCTTGTTAATCATAATAAGAAATGTAATTTCAGCCTACAGAATCACTTTTTTTTAAGTATTTGTTAATGAAGAGGAGAGATGAAGAAGTTTTAAAATGTTCAAAAGAGCTAAATACATTTTAAACCTTTGTTTTAACTGGGAAATTTGTGACTTTAGTTGTTTACAGACATAGTTCCTAGAACATGCGAAAACTTCAAAGCACTTTGTACGGGAGAAAAAGGAGTATCCCCTGATAGCGACTACAAACTACACTATCAAAACTCACTGTTTCACAGAATAGTCCGCAATGGCTGGATACAGGGTGGAGGTAAGCATCATAGTCAGTGGTTATCATATGAAAAAGTATCATTTTACTGTATGACATACACTAAGGAAAGTTTAAATATCAACAATATCAGAGATTTCATGTATATTTCCCTTTATTTATTTGGCAATAGGCCCTTCCCCAGTAATAAGCCCATGGTTATTGCTCTCTAGAAAAATTGCAAAGCCTTTTTTCTTTGTTCTGTAATAATTCCACCCTCTGACTTTGTGTCAGAACTAATGTGTGTGCCTCTTGGGCTTAATGCAAGATAAACATGGTCACACCATTAAAATATGTACCCCCCCTCCCCCCTCCCTCCCCCAGTTTTGTGATAATTACCTTCAATTATTTTTTCTCATCATTATTATTGTATTTATCAGTAAAAGCATTTAAAATCTATGTTGAGTTTGCCCATTTGTGTTTGATCTCATTTGCAATGGTAATTCACCTGAGATGAATTTTTTCATTTTTATTTTGCTCTCAGATATATACCACAGTCGAGGTAACGGTGGGGAATCTATCTATGGACCAGTGTTTGAAGGTAAGTATTTTGGAAAATGATTTCCAATCTTTCATGACATTTAAATATGTAAGTGCAATTATCTTGTAAATTATCTCTCTTAGATTGACTCCATGACTTTACAACCAAACAGCCTTTATAAACTTAAATGATAATAAACTGAGTTAAGAAATACCTCTAATAATTTTTCTTACATTATTTCATTCAGATGAGAATTTCGCAGTGTCACATTCCAAGAGAGGTATGCTTGGGATGGCCAGCAGAGGGCGCCACACCAATGGATCACAATTCTACATAACATTGCAACCAACAAAGTGGATGGACACCAAATATGTAGCATTTGGGTAAGTAAATGAGGCATTTCAACCCTGTAGGATCCTTCAAACAGTGTAGGGAAAGAAATCACTGTTAATTTTTTTATATATTTTGGTTGGACATCATTAATTTAGATTTTCCCCCTTATTTTGTTCATTAGGGACAACATAATCATAAGTTATGGTATTTGGGTCTCAAACTATATATAGTATATATTAATATATTAATAGTATTAATTAGTATAATTACGATAAAGAAAAATCTAATTGACTTGATAATTATCATGTCTGAAATTGAAGTATTAGTAAATGTTCATTCAGCTTCCAAAGTCAATATCCATTAATTTATTTATAAATTATCTTAATTGCTGTTAATTGATTCATTGATTTCTTTTTATTTCAAAATTTTTTATTGACCAAATAATTGTTGGCTAGTGTGTATTGAACTAGTGGTAAAGAAGATAAAATAAATTTGAAGAAAAATCTTTTCAGAGACAGGTTCTTGTATTGGTTGACCTCAAACTGAAATTTGTATCTAGTTCATATTGTGATATATGTATATTCTACAGACAAATCATCGAGGGGACAGAAACATTAAGGGAGATGGAGGGACAGGAAACAATGAATGAGCGACCAAACACAGACATTAAGGTGACCAACTGTGGTTTGTGTACTTACGAATTCTAGGCAGCATTACAACTGGGCAAGGTGAAAAAGACATCTGAAAAAAAGAACTTCTGTGTAACCGTTACAATGGAAGATTTTGTTGGAAATCATGGCATGAAGCAAGTTTTAGTTTTGATGGTAAAGTAGAGGAGACATTTGCCATACAAATTCATGGTATCTTAAGATCAGGTTACACAAAACGAGACCTGTGTTTGTAGCATGAAAATTTCTCTTGTTATGCTGCAAAATTCATGATTCAATTAATAAATAAGGTAGCCTTGAAAAAACAACTTAGCTATGCTGTACAGGTACATGGACATGTAATGGTAAATTATATTCCCATGAAATGGAAAACTTATGATTTGAAAAGAAGAAATAATATTAGGTAACTGAATTATTTTAAGAAACTTTCCTTCTGAATAACATTATTTTTATATTATCTGCTGTTCATTTGAAAAGTTGTATATAATATATATAAATGTCATTATTGTAAATACAATTTGAAAAATAAAATATTTAAACCAAATTACTCATGACATGTATATGTTTGATTTTCTTGACAATTACACCTTTAAATGTATGATGTTCCACAATCTCTGCAGATGACTGTGTGATTTGTTGTGATAGAGATATAATTAAGCTGTAATTGTATAATGTAAGTTTGAATAACAACAATGATTGTGTTGGTTTTTTTATACACATCTCTTAGTAATTGTGTTTATAAATAAAGTAATATCTTAATTCTTCCCTATTTAAATAAGTTGACAACCAATTTGAGATGAAGTTTGTTCATGTCATATATAAATGTACTTATACTTAAACAATAACAAAAGTACAGATAAAGTTATTAGGCGATGAAAGTTTAGAGACAATCTGCTCCTTTACAGAGACAAAACAAATATTAAAAAAAGAAAATTACAAGACATCATCAAACAATTATCATGTCAGTGATTATAGGTAAAAAGGTGAAAGTTTCCTTTTAATGGATGGTAGCCAATGTACATACTTGTATTTCAATTCTTATGGAAGAACACTTATAAAACATGCCACTGATAATATATTTCTATTCAGAGTAGACCCCAAAGTATTTAGAACTCTCTTCCGTCAGGAATAAGGACTTTCAAGTCAACAGGGGTCAGTTATGAAAAGGTCCAGGGTACTGATATCAAGCCTGTAGCATGTTTGCCTGGAGCACTGCATGGAGCAAGTTTGTTGAGATGAATGACTTTGTCCCTCTTTTAATCTAATGTCACAAGGGATGAATGTGTTATCGTCTTCAAAACAAAATCCTCTCAACAGCCAAATGTCTCGGGGTCAAATTTATTAAAGTCATCATATGACTTTTTAATGACTAAAATGCCCTTTAGACATATAGCAAGCTTGGATGAAAGTCTACCGAATTTGTTCAAATAAATGACGTTGACCAATTTTCAATGTCAGACGGGTCAAATATGTAAACATCTTCACATGATTTCTTATCAAAAACTGAAATATCAAATGTACCGATATTGGGCGGATAATATGCTGTGATAAAGGGTTACAGACTTTGTTCAAGTGAACGACATTGACCCACTTCAGGAACACAGAGGTCAAATGTGTTGAAATTGTCAAACATTTGCTTCAACGTAATACCGATTTCCCGAGTACTGAAACTTGCCAATGGTACTGGGTTTGTATCATGTTGTGATGAAGTACTACCAAGTTTGTTTGAAGGTCACATGCGTCAAATGTGCTAAAATGTTCAAACGACTTCTTTTATTGATTGATTGACAGGTTTTCCGTCTCCGTACCTTCTCTCATGGGCGGGTATCGTCTCACCGACGAACGTCAGTGTTCTGGCGACGTTAGGGGGCGATCTGTATCCTCCTCAGTGGGAATGAACCGTCTATCGCGGTGATCTTTTGATTATACTAGTTGTTGCAGACGGCTCCAAGGCCTAATAATGCCTTATCCTAATTTTAGCAGTAGAAACGTGTCCAGAACCTGAACGTTCGAGTTGGGGGGCCATCTAGATTTGGTTTGTGTAAGGGTAATTATGATGTTCGTCTAATGCCTATTAAGATACAGATACATGTATACATATTTGTGTTACAAAGAACAAAGGGGGTGGGGGTGGGGCGGGGGGTGGGGAGGGGTCGCATAGCTGTGATTATAACTAGCTGTTCACAGAAATTGTCGGTTTCCTACATCTGTCCGTGTTTTGGACACGGAAATCGACTTACGACTTCAATATCAAATGATAACCAATTACATGATCAGTTCAAACAACTTTGTACGTAACAAAGATAATAATTCCAAGGCCTCTGATGTCCACGCGCACAGAAACCTGTATAATCCCGGCGAGAGTGAAGATCACTTGTGAAACGATATGCACCGAAATTGACGTCACAGTTTAATCCCATAATCTATAATTAGCCTCACCTATACGCTCCCACAAAGTACATATTTCACGAGGTCATTGTCATGTCGATGTTTAAGGTTCACAGGTTACTAGCTTGTGATATGTATATTTAACACTATCATCTCTTGTCCATGACACGTTTTATTTCAGTTAAATACTTTGTAATTTTTCGTACATCAATCGGTATCTTTTAAATAGTGCCTCGAAGATTCAGTAATACCCAAACGTCATTTGTGTACTTCATCAATCGAGTTAAATTGTTGTAAAAAGAATGTGTACGTTTATAGACTATCAATATGACTTTGAATAGGAATAACAGGAAACAGGAACATATACATCGACAATATAGCTGTTGTCCGTCTTGTCTGCTGTCACCACTAATCCTGTCTTCATCCCTTCTCTCATCACTAATCTTATCCATCCCTTCTGTCACCACTAATCCTGCTATCCATCTCTCCTGTCACCACTAATCCTGCTATCCATCTCTCCTGTTACTACTAATCCTGCTATCCATCCCTCCTGTAACCAATAATCCTGCTATCCATCTCTCCTGTTACTACTAATCCTGCTATCCATCTCTCCTGTTACTACTAATCCTGCTATCCATCCCTCCTGTAACCAATAATCCTGCTATCCATCCCTTCTGTCACCAATAATCCTGCTATCCATCTCTCCTGTCACCACTAATCCTGCTATCCATCTCTCCTGTCACCAATAATCCTGCTATCCAACCCCCCTGTTACCACTAATCCTGCTATCCATCCCTCCTGTAACCAATAATCCTGCTATCCATCCCTTCTGTCACCACTAATCCTGCTATCCAACCCCCCTGTTACCACTAATCCTGCTATCCATCTCTCCGGTCACAACCAATTCTATTCATCTCTTCTGTCACCACTAATCCTGCTATCCAACCCCTCTGTTACCACTAATCCTGCTATCCATCCCTTCTGTCACCACTAATCCTGCTATCCAACCCCCCTGTTACCACTAATCCTGCTATCCATCCCTTCTGTCGCCACTAATCCTGATATCCATCTCTTCTGTAACCACTAATCCTTTCCATCTCTCCGGTCACCATTAATCCTGCTATCCATCTCTCCTATCACCACTTATCCTGCTATCCGTCTCTCCGGTCACAACCAATTCTATCCATCTCTTCTGTCACCACTAATCTTGCCTTCATCCCTTCTCTCATCATAAATCCTATCCATCCCTTCTGTCGCCACTAATCCTGATATCCATCTCTTCTGTAACCACTAATCCTTTCCATCTATCCGGTCACCATTAATCCTGCTATCCATCTCTCCTATCACCACTTATCCTGCTATCCGTCTCTCCTGTCACAACCAATTCTATCCATCTCTTCTGTCACCACTAATCTTGCCTTCATCCCTTCTCTCATCATAAATCCTATCCATCCCTTCTGTCGCCACTAATCCTGATATCCATCTCTTCTGTAACCACTAATCCTTTCCATCTATCCGGTCACCATTAATCCTGCTATCCATCTCTCCTATCACCACTTATCCTGCTATCCGTCTCTCCGGTCACAACCAATTCTATCCATCTCTTCTGTCACCACTAATCTTGCCTTCATCCCTTCTCTCATCATAAATCCTATCCATCCCTTCAGTCACCAATAATCCTGCTATCCATCCCTTCAGTCACCAATAATCCTGCTATCCATCTCTTCTGTCACCACTAATCTTGCCTTCATCCCTTCTCTCATCATAAATCCTATCCATCCCTTCTGTCACCACTAATCCTGCTATCCAACCCCCCTGTTACCACTAATCCTACTATCCATCCCTTCAGTCACCAATAATCCTACTATCCATCCCTTCTGTCATCACTAATCTTGCCTTCATCCCTTCTCTCATCATAAATCCTATCCATCCATCCTGTCACCAATAATCCTACTATCCATCCCTTCAGTCACCAATAATCCTACTATCCATCCCTTCTGTCACCACTAATCTTGCCTTCATCCCTTCTCTCATCATAAATCCTATCCATCCCTTCAGTCACCAATAATCCTGCTATCCATCCCTTCAGTCACCAATAATCCTGCTATCCATCTCTTCTGTCACCACTAATCTTGCCTTCATCCCTTCTCTCATCATAAATCCTATCCATCCCTTCTGTCACCACTAATCCTGCTATCCAACCCCCCTGTTACCACTAATCCTACTATCCATCCCTTCAGTCACCAATAATCCTACTATCCATCCCTTCTGTCACCACTAATCTTGCCTTCATCCCTTCTCTCATCATAAATTCTATCCATCCATCCTGTCACCAATAATCCTGCTATCCATCTCTTCTGTCACCACTAATCTTGCCTTCATCCCTTCTCTCATCATAAATCCTATCCATCCCTCCTGTCACCAATAATCCTACTATCCATCCCTTCTGTCACCACTAATCCTGCTATCCATCTCTCTTCTCACCACTAATCCTGATATCCATCCCTTCTGTCACCCCTAATCCTGCTATCCATTCCTTCTGTCACCACTAATCCTCCTAATAATTTCTCCTGTCACCACTAATCCTGCTATTCTTCTCCTTGTCATTTTTTTCCTTTCTATCCATTTTACCTCTCTTGTTATTTTCGCCAATCAATCCATCATTGATACCGTTTTCCCGCCGACCACCTCCTTTACTACTTGTTCTATTTCTCCAGTTTACCATTATCTACCAATTGTCTGGTTACCTGTAGCTGAGTGCTAGAAGAACGAATTATCGGTTCGATATCGAAAGACTTAAAATTGATTGAATTTTGTAATTAGTGAGTCCTACCTATCTACTCTGTCGTCTCTCGACTTTGATACTTTTGCGGCATTCTGTTTTATAACGGAGTGCGTATCACCCAGATTCTTTGATTTCTTTATTTCCCTTATAAACATAAATTGGAATTATTCATTCGTTAGTTACAAAAACTTACCCAACACTCCCATACAAAATATATAAGACAGACGCCGACGGCGTTTAAGACCAATAAGATTTATGATAAAATATCTCCCAAAACAAGTCTTCTGTGCAGCGTTGTCTCTTTAAACGCCGAATCTTCATTTCAGTGTAAACTGATCAATGATGCTTCAGTTTGTACTTGATAGGACACCCAACAAGCAATTACTCCTGTGTACTACACTGTATTATTATGCTATACGTAGTTAAAACAGAGCCAAAGTTGTAGGTGTGGTATGCGAGTTACAGCTAGTCGACTTCACGACATCGTTTGCTCAGTCACTCAATTAGGCCAATCCTGATATCACACAATCCTACCATATCATAAACTGATTATGGATGTAATAAAGACTGGCATTGCTTCAGACCAGACACGATACAACAGGTCAACATATCTCTAGATAACGCATATATGTTGAACGTTTGTAAGGATGATAACATAACGAAAGGTCACCTCAGCTGGCACATGGACCGACTCAGATGCAGATGAAAACGTTATCAGTCACTATTTGCAGTGGTGTAACTCTATATAGGTGACCACTGTACCCATCCCGTGACAGCGAATGCTCGATGACTGCGGGTACATTTCACAATCACCCATTGTCGACACCGACTATTTGAACTCTGGTGAACAGACGGATTCGGCAGTGAGGATCAATCTCTCGTGTGGACTTAACGATAATTTGACATATTCATTACGTTACAAGGCAACATGAATTGTTTTAAATCTCTTAGAGTGTTTCTTTTGATCACAATTCTGTCTGAACATGCCCTGGGGGCGCCAACAGGTGAGATTTCCATCTTTTAAGAATTTTTATCATTCCTATAATTTGTATGTCAATGAACTATCAAATGATCACTAAATTTTTAATACTTAATACTTTAATATATTCGCAAAACGAAGTCCTATAATTTTTTTCTGTTACCGATAGTTGGAATTTATTATTGTTCTATTATTTAAGTTAAATAATGCATTGATGTAGAAAGCTGGTGCCATGAGATATCATTATGCTTGTTTCTATTGTATGGCATATCATACAGAGGTATGCTTAATGTAAAATATCTTATGCTATCTTGATATACAGAGTACTTTTATGTAAAGAAAATTAAATATGTGTGTTTTCCATTTCTCAGCCACCGCAGAAAACGCAACCATGACCACAGCTAATATGACAACAGGAGAAATGTCCACAGCTGGCGGTATGTAAAGCATATGATACATGCCAAATGCTTAGATTGTATAAGATGTGCTGATTTCTGCGCAGGCTATATTACAAAAGTTATTGAAAAATAGAAGAAATGACTTGCGACAATTTCATCATTTAGTTATTGAAAAATATTCAACTGAAGACACACCATTAACTTAACTGTACATTTAAAATTTCGTTGAACAAAACACAAACAATTCCTGAAGTCCAATAATAAATACAACTGTATTTTAATGTTTTCAACCTTTCATAAGATTTTAGTAGTACTAGAGTCTAGTCCAAAACATGTCTGGAAGGAAAATAAACACCGTCTCAGTCGCCTCATAGATTTCAAAATTTAGGCTCTTGGCATCACTGTCGAGTCCTAAATTGACAAAATGTACGAATGTATGAAAAAGGTGCTGTTTGATTGTGTGTCTTTTGTACGATCGTGAGTGCTTTTCTTCGCAATACAAGTAAAAAGTAAATGTAAACTGTACGTTTTTAACAAGACAAAGGCACTAGGTCTTGAAATTTCGTCTACTCGTTGAACTGCATCAGCTCAAACTTAACAGATTCGTCAAATTCATCAGCAGCAAAGTAACAAGAGACACCCATTGTCAGAGCGGTAGTTATTCCAATGAGAAAAATAGCAATAGTATTGAGATAATATATTTGTTATATTGCATCTCACTTAGGAGTAACAGCAACCAAAGATATGACGACACCAACCAACGGAATGACGACAGCCACCAAAGATATGACGACACCAACCAACGGAATGACGACAGCAACCAAAGATATGACGACAGTTACCGAAAGTATGACGACAGCAAATGGAAGCATGACGACAGCGAATGGAAGCATGACGACATCAAGTGACAATGGCACCACATCAAGTCACAACGGCACTTCAGAAATGACTACTATGACAATGCTGCCTGACATCAATGGGACAACTGTTACCATGCCCACTGGCAATGGAACCACCATGTCAAGTCACATAACGTCACCAGCACACCTCACCTCAAAAGCACCAACACAACGACCAAATCCAACCCAATCTCCCTCGAAAGGTGGATTTAGCGGCTCATCATTTGGTGGTGGTATCGCTCTCGGAGCTGGCGTCATTCTTCTAAGCGGTCTTGTATATTACTTATATGCTAGAAGAGCAAATGGAAGAAGACCTTATTCAGCAGTACAATGACAATCATAATAACATCTTACTAACAACATAGTCATCAGTCACCAGTCTCGGAAAAAGCACATATTCATTCTTAATTTGTTAGGTGTACAACAATTCGGACGATGAATAAAATTGTTGCAAGTCTGGTTGACTACAGACCTGCATTAGTTAATATATTTACCATGGAGAATACACGATGCAACTGTATGTGCATGACAAAAACTTCGATGGCTTGTCAGTTATCCGCTTCTATCCTGTTCTTTCGTGCACATTAAACCAGTCTTCATGTCTTTCATGACCTCGTATACGACAATAATTACAGAAAGATTCTTGATCATAGTATGGCATTTGTTTCTATAGTTACGTAAACTGAATGAGAGAAACAAAGACAGAATCAGAAAGAAATACAGAGAAAGAAAGAGAGAGAGAGAGAGAGAGAGAGAGAGAGAGAGAGAGAGAGAGAGTGTGTGTGTGTGTGTGTGTGTGTGTGTGTGTGTGTGTAAAGATAGTATTGTGATGTAAGTACATGCGTACCTATCCTGTATGTAATTTGTGAATAGAAAACCAAAGCGAGTCGTTGCAACAAAAACTTATTCCGAAATGCATGTATAATAAATGTTTATGACGTTGATAAAGTTATTGATTTTTTATTCACTTTAAAAACATTCTGTTCAAAACCTTGTTTAATCGATGGTAGGCATGAAATTGCCAGGTTTAATACAGATGTGTTAGCTTAACAAATTAATACCTTGTCAGGGTTCTCACAGAGAAGTTCTCGTCTATACGGTGGCAATTATCATTGTTTCCAAACATTACATAAAGGTATACGACCCGCTTGTTGTATATATATAAAACATTAGCTGTTAACAAAACCTTTCCTTCGAAAATCTATTGCAATGCTATTTTTTACGTGTGTGAGGTGTGCAATGCTGGTCTGCATTATCAGGCTCGGTATTTTGGTACTACCTTGAGCTCAGTACTGATAAACGATGGACTGGGATTGTCAAGTGAAGTGCTTAGTCATATCTGGATATCGCTATTTGAACTATATCCATAACTTATCTCGTTCGCTATTGTACTATGTATATAAGTACATGGATACATTACAGCACATATTATATTATACACAGAGAGGCAAATAATTTTGTCTACACATATTAGACATTAGATGTCTGTGATATTATACAATTTTGCTCGTAATTTTTTTCAAATAATAAATGAATGCAGATCTTTTCGGTTTTTATATATGTAGAAACAGGGATGAGGTGGGATATAGTATTGCAATAGTCAATATATCACAATATTTGTCTAGTGACAATATATTTCAATACATGGCTTAGTAACGCAGTATATTGCAGCAACTGTTTGAGGGGTTAAACGTCAGAATTTCTTATAATTAAATATTGAAACCAAAATTCAACCTGTTTGATGTATTCTTACCCTTGTGCCGTGTAACATAACATCACAGTTTTATAATTTTCAATACATCACCGCATTAATTCAGCTATAAAACTCTTGTGTATAGTCTTGTCCTGCAAAAAATATCATTTAAATATTCTAAAATACGATATATCCTTTGATATGGCAATTTCCCTTTCAATGTCGCAATATATTGCAATACAAAGCTGTTTTCAATACCAACTTTATGTAGAATGTTAGGTACCTATTATGATGATATTATGTAAAAGTATATATCATTGAATGTTTAAGATAATATACCTGATAGTCTGTACCACAAGTAAGTGAACAGCAGATATTAATATCCATTTACATATTCATTCAGATATTCATTTACAATATATTAAGTGAATAGAATTCTACTTTGAATTCAAAATCAATTAAATGTGTCATATATGGATATTATTGAAAAAAAAAACACAAGGAATATAGGACGAGTATTCCTGAATGATCATTGTAAAAAGATAAGCACCCATCCATAATCACTGTAAAAATGTGTGCATCCTGCCAGCATCATTGTGAAAAATGTATCCAGCATCACTGTTATAAGAATGGAAACACTTGTAATGTTCCTGTCATAAGAATAAATAACAGGAAAATGAAAAGATAAATGAATATTTAGATAATTAAGTTCAGAATTGCATCCTTCATCAATTTCTGTAACAGTGCTCTCCCCTGATCTGTCTTAAAGCATTTATTACATTAAACTAAAACTTAACTTGATATTTGTATCATTATGAATTGTTTTTTTATGATATGAGCAATACATGTTTGAGATCGGTCAATGTAAAAAGTAGTTCTTATTAATATTATATATTGTTAACTTTTTTTCGCTCATTACCATTATCGAAATTAAGGATCTAAAGGATCAAAGGCAAACTATTGCTAATGAAGTATTTTACATATCAATATAGCCAATGTCTTTCGCTGATGATGGGTATTCATGCATTGGTGCATCTTGCCTTGGTATTATCACTTTTTACATCACCGGGAAACGAAAAATTCTCGCTCTATTGCAGACATTATGTTGCATAGGACGCGGAACTAAGTTGCACATATAAAAACAGCTTATTCATATGTGTAGTGTATACAAATAAACAAAATTTAAGTTAAAGTTTAAAACAATCGCCTGAAGATGGCCGCCATGCCTAAAAAGTTAACGTCATAGACATGCTTCATATATGAAGAAAATATTATATATAATTGTATTATAAAATAGTATATATTGAAAAGTGTTGGGTATTCACATACAAAATAAATCATCTGTTACTGAAGTCTGGTACCTGACTTCCCGAACACTGACCCTGTATATCGGTATTTAAAGAGACATGCAGTGATATCAAACCATACTGTTGATCGATTATTAGCTTCATGTTAGCTTTAGAAAATACTCGTGAAAGTTTTATGCACTAAACAAACTGAAGAAGTTATCTACAAGTTGAACTACGAATTTCACTTTTTAAATTAATGTTACATTGCATTTTCTTTTTAATTAAGTTGGCGTTGTAACAAGCTCCTTCAGACAAAGAAACTAGTTTCGCGCTCCCCACTGCTAGGTGATAGAGTGAGGTGTATCTGTAAGAGAATTTTGAAATTCATTTCTATGAATGAGACCAATGACGAAATTCCCTGACGCAGTGTGGCAATACAAATGCATGACATGTGCATAGAACAACGAGGCATAACTACAGAAGTATACTTAGTCGCGGTATGAATGTAACATTACAGAAATGAACATATTGTTTGCAATAACATCTTGCAAATAATTTCAGAAACATCTAGAATTTCTGCAAAAATCCCTAGCGTTTTTGTTGATCTGTTTATAAAAATAATATTCGTCCAAGTAAAAGGCATACAATCACATATTTTTGATATCTTATAATGTCTTTGTTTTACGTAATCATCAATGCCAAATACAATTTGCAGTTAATGATTATCTTAACAACATTGAATCATTGTATTGTATTGTATTGTATTGTATTGTATAATGTAAAGTGAAACTGAAAGCTGCCTCTAGTAAGATATCAGTTCTAATCGACTGTAAGGCTGTATTAACGGACAATAAGCCTGTTGAAGAAAGAAAGAAAGAGAATCTGTAAAGTCACATTGGCTTAATCCTAATGTTATCCATTTTGAAAAAATAACAACAATGTTCCGGTCATGGAGACATAAATTACAACTTGTGTCAGAAAATATCAGTAACAAAGTGATCGAAATACTCGTAAAATAGAAAATATAACTTCTTTTTTTCTTGTCACGTTAAAATTATATTTGTTGCTTAGTAAAAACCTGCCCTTCATTCCGAAACAAAAACGTTGAACTTTCAATAACTTTGACATTTATAGTAAAACCACATTTACTTGTTTTCCTTATCAATCTTTGTGTAAGATATACTGTATAATAAAAGAAAATATGAAGGTGACCCAATTTGACCTTTAATAAACACAAACACAAGCATGATATGAATACAACATAGGGTACTAAGCAGACAGAGATTCATATACATAAATTAAACAATATTCCATATCTATTCATACAATGTTCATCACAAATACATTACCACGTGTACCTTTGACATTCAAAGTAGGCACACCCAATCATGCTTAACCGGTTTCTACAACAAACATTATCTACTAAAACTTTTGTTCTGAACAATGGCAGTTATGACCTAGATTAAAGGTCATATGTCACTTATTTTTCGGGATTTTACCAAGAAACACCTTTTCCACTAGATGTTCCGTATCTCGGACTTTTGATTTATTAGAAGAAGAATTCGACCACTGTAACCTTAAATAAGGATCAAGGTAATCACTTTTTACAAACTTTGTCAGGTTTCATATTAAGGACCATATGTTAACCATCGTTTTTTGGGCCTTTTGGATAGTCAAAAGAAAACGTTTCAATTAATTTTACCCTGTGACCTTGAATATTGGTCATGGTAATTTTCGCAAACTATGTTGAGCTTTAACTTAGAAACTTAATAGCCAAATAGCGTGTTTCTGCGCATTTTGATTAATCAGAAGAATTCGTTTTAAGCCTAATATGATTCTTTTGGGCCATTTGGTTATTCAAAAGAAATTGTTTTAAAGTTCCAACAAATTCGACCCCTGTGACCTTGAATATATGTCTAGGTCATTTCTTTTCCAAACATTGTTTGATCTCAGCCAAGTAACCTGACAGTCAAACGTCGTTAGAAATAAGGAATAATCCTTGAAAACGATGCAAAGAATTGAAGCTTTGACCGATAAGACCACTTTTTTATTCATCAATATGCATATGATTTGAAGAAGAAACTTGATGTGACTACGTATTTGAACGTAGTTTATATAGTAAACCAAGGCAAGAATTAGGTTCTAAATAAATAACATTTAACTAATAGAAGTTACGAGGTTTCAAATGGTATTGATATTAACACTCTGCAAGCTCTTTAGATAAGATACAAAACATTTTGATTGAAATATTATGCATATAACGCTAACAAATATAATTTCTAGACCTTTATTGTTTTAATGTTTAAAATGTATGGCAAACCAAGGCAGAAACAGATAACCAATTATGGATATCCATAGAATATCCTAAGATAAATCTTATATCAATAAATCGACTAATGGATATCCATATATACATATTGATGGATATCCATAATTCAAAATCATTTATTGATATCAATAAGTCATTTATGTATATCTAAAATACATTATTGATATCCATTAGTCATTTATATATGTAAATCTAAAATGATGGATAACCACAGTTTTTCTTGATTTTCTTATATCCATAAATCATTGGTAAATGACTAAAATTATTTGTAAATATCAATGTCGTTTATGTACCAGTCTTATCAATGTACATGTGCGAGGGGTTTCCAGGTGTTAAATAAACGTTCCATTGTATGTATAAAGAGTTATCCCGTTTTAAGTTTTTACTCAATTATCATAAATTATAGTGAATTGATCAAATATTTTCATAATTTCATTTAAAACCTAATAACATCTGCTTTGAGAAATGCTACAAATGTATGGTGGTTATTACCTCTATTTAACCAATTATTGTTTTTCAATGTATATAAGACGCTACATCTCAGTATAATGATCAAAAGTCTATGTGCATATCTAAATGTTTTTGTTTGTTCTATTTCCAAGTGGAGAGGATTGATATAGTCATAGCCTTATCAATTTGTATGCTCTTTATTTGTTCTTAAGGTCAAACCACGGGACATTCTTCAGTATCTAATGTGACGGGGAGAAACTTTCTGAATGTTATGCAATCCTTATGTAGTCACAATAAAAATCCATTGTTGACATTTCGTGATTTAAGATATATAATCATTTCGAACATGATTTGTGTTTATTATGGTGTATCCTACGCGCTGCTATTTTCAGGTGTTGAAACATGTAAACCTATAATGTCTCAAGAAACAGTGGATAATTAGATTGAATTAAGTGGCCCTATCTCTGACTTAATCCAGCATAAACTGGAGACTACCATGCATGATTACCAGTCTAGCACTTAAAGTGTCCACTCCAATTGTACATATTATTCAACATACCAGCAAATTAATGATGTAGAAAACTACACTGGCCCACAAAAGATATCAGTAGTTTTTTTTCAACTCAACATATTGTCATTGGCAGTTACTCTGCAGGCGCCCTCAAATAAAGGCAGTCTTTATATCAATAAATAATGTCCTGTATGAAGAATAACTCAAACTCCTTAATATGACTAGGTGGAGATTTCAACATTGGTCCTACAGACTGGGAAAATTACTCTACCATCCCAGGAAGGCCTGTGTCCATACTCCATAACATCCTACTAGTTTTATATATCACGAACTAAGCCAAGTGGTTGGTAACACAACAAGACACAACAATATATTCGACCTAGTCTTCAATAATCCATCCGGTGTCAAGAAAGTGAGCAATCGGTCATGCAGGCCATGGTATTTCTGGAAATTGGTATCTGGTTAAGGCGGGTTAGAAAGAAAGATCACTGGAACATGAGAGTCTGCTCATAACGGAAAACAATGAAAAGGCAAATTTAACAAACGTTACCTCCAGTCAGTATTTATCAAAGACGCCGAGACGTCCATTCCTGATAAAAGCGTATGTTCTCATCCCATCATCCTATGATCAATACTACAGGTCTTTCTAGGTCAAACCTCAACCCCATGAAGGTCAGTTGGTCAGATTATGTCAATCGTTCTGTAATGAGGGAGCTGAAAAAACATATTGCTCCAAATCACACTACCATATTTACCAAATCCATGATCGCTGGAGAAATACCACTAGATCGAAACCAAGCATCTCTTTTTCTCTTTATCATTCTTATTATTACTTTTTAGTAATAAGACTGCATTGGTGTTGATATCAGCATGATCCCAGTTACAGCAGTTTCGACTTTACTGAGTTGAGCGATACAGAAGTGGTCCTCCACCGTAGCACGGTTTCCAGTTTATAACATGTTGTAATATCAAGAATGAGTACCGTGTACAGCTACTGTAGACAAGGAACATATGTATCCATCTAGTGTCACTGTCAAAAGACAAAAAACACAATATCAAAGTCTTTACGATAGGAATTTCGCACTAGCACTTTAGAAACAATAAGACACATAACTAAGCTCGGAATGCCAACCTTCCCTTTTATTAGCTTGTTATAATATCTGTATCATTACTCTCCCTTAATCTTAAAATTTGTCATGTACATTTTGACGACTGTTTTCTCCAGTAATATATTAGCTGATTATAAGAAGTAGAATAACACTCACGTTAAAACGCAATAGTAATTATTAATTATCGTTCAATACCAACTGCGAAGTTAAATAATTACAAAGCGATGCCACCTATATATACATTGTAGGATGGTGAAAAAAAGTACAATTGTACATATATATGAATAACAAGTTTTATACATTAACATTACATGTGACGATAGCAAAACTTACATAAGTACGTCTTGTTATGGTATTATCAATTTTGACATCGTCAGAGGGCGAGACATCATCTTCTCGTGATCGTTTGCTGCCTCGTTGTTCCGTAGCTAAATTAAAATATATAACAGCTTTTCCTCTCAGCATAAACAACAATAGTATTTATATCTACATGTATGGTGGTTTGAAAAGCCAACAAACTATTTGGTTAATTGAAACAATGACTATGTAAATTTGAGAAACCAATTATTGTTGCATTGCGTCAAAACCATTTTAACACAACTTACTGTGTCCCTCTTAATTTATCGAAGAGTTTATCAAAATGGGTCAAAAAGATCTTGCCAAGTCGTTTAATTTCACTTTCTGATATATTGTCCATAAATAATGAAAAAAAAAACACCCATGGTATACACCCACCAGAAATTGAAATCAAATACACGGCAGAATGGTCTCGTTAGACGCTCTTCTCGATCTTTTCCTACAACGAAATCAGCATGTACAATTCTCCACCAAACTGTATGGTAGGCGTGATGATTTCATTTTTCCCTATTGTGATTTTTCCATCTCTGAATAGCCTCATCCTTATTGAAGGGTCTATTCTGAAAACTTACGAATGGGTTTTAAGGTCATCATAGGAATCTAACTGAGAAAGATTCTATTTCTTTGTGCGAGATGAAGCATAACGCGTTGGTGCTCTTTAGTTTGCCTTCTGGTTCTGCTGCTGTATACCTTGTTCTCATATGTGAACCTGACATTACTTATTTGGATTCGCCAAGATTTACATGGGCAGTGTCGTCAATGAAGGATAAGACAACGTTTACAATTTCAGAACAAATGGTCTTATTCTCCTTTTTCAGGAATCTTCGAGTAAATCTTTCTTTACTTCATATTTTGCTCTAGTTTTATCGAATTTCAGTTTGGATTATAATTATATTGACAAGTTAAAATTTTGTTGTCTTAAAGTTTTCTTTTTAGTAAAATCCATACTAACACTTAATTTATCATTGTTAATATTGTATTAACCAAGTAAATGCTACAGAATAGCAATCAAATATGAAGTCTTCCGATAAAATACTGTATAATTCATTATAATTCATAATTCATTCTTATCATCACTGAAATGTTACCCAAATACATTTCCGAAGTACAAAATTTTGTATCATATTAATATTAAAAGTGCTGTAGTATGTTTACCTTCAAAACCCATTGTCATATACTCATTGCCTTTTTCTGTCCTGCCAACGAGATGTAGGCATTTTCCTGTTATGTAACATAATGGGAAGTCCCGTGTTTGTCGGAAAGTTTTGGAGTTCTTTTCCATGAATGAAACCAAATCATCTACCACTTTCGAAGTTCGGATGGAATTTCCCAATTCAATAGAGCAATGTAGATGTAGTACATATGCATAGAACAAAGGGTTGATAAACAAAACCTCATTGAATTTCGACATGGCACTCTGAACAGCTTCTGGGTAAAATTGTGTCAAAAGAGGAGGGCATACAACGTCAAACGCTATGAAATGCTTTAAAGTTTCTCGAAAAGAGCTCGTTTTTTGGCGAAACATCTCGACGAAGTCTTCATCCTTGGGAGTTTTGTCTCTGTTATAGAACGAGTAATGAACAATTGTGTTGTTGTAGCCTCTGATGACATCGGCAGCAATACCTTGTGCTTCATTGAATCTTTTGAGGTATAAATGATATGTTGCTAGCATCAATCGACCACAACAAAAAGACGTGTCAGCCAGTGTTTCAAGCGATGTCTGAAGAGCGTCGCCTTCTTTTGTCGCGTCATTTTCTGAGAAACTTCTTTGAAAGTTGTGTATAGACAAAAATGTTCCTATTTCCTGTTGTAACAGTAAACACGAGTTCTGAAAGAGACCTTTTCCTTTGGCCTGTTTTAACTTCTCATTGATGTGCTCTAAACGTGCTGAAAATGTGTCTGACTCCAATGTGTTGAGGACGTTCAAAGAAATATGACGCACATTACATAGTGAATTAATTTCGACATGATGAACGTACACGTCATTTTCATCCTTTTCCTCAATTCTCATTTTGATCACATCTCTCCATTTTGTGGGTCCCAGCTTTTCATAAATCAGCAGCTCAGAATGAAGTTGTTCTAAACGCATTGTTGATCTAGTGTCAATCATGTTGTTTTCTGGGATGAAATAATTTTGTACTTCTTTTTTTGCCACACAAGTGATGATCTGCTCCAGCAATTTCTCAAGACACATATGGAGATTTTCTGGTTTCCAAAAATCAGTTGGTGATTTCTCTATCAACCAAAATATTGCAGTTTTGATGAAGTAAGATGGGAAAACATCTGGAAACTTTGGTCTTATCTTCGCGTGGAAGAAAATTTTCATGAAATAAATGCAAGCGTACTGAGTGCCATTGAAAGACCAAACGAGCTCTCTCTCCGCCTTGTTAAAAGATATCCTCCATTCCAGGTGTTTCTCTGGCGAATCTGCGTGTCCAATAGGAACCAAACTACAGCCCATCGACTGTATCTTCTCTATTGTCTTTAAGTCAGGCCATTGGTGTTCACAGCGTCTTGTTAGCCATTCGTCAGCGGCTACCGGCCAATCGCATTTCAAAGAAAACAGCGTGTCTATTTCGTGTATCTGTTCCAGTCCTCCGAATTGAAATTTTATGCATGGACCATGGGGTTGAAATTTTGTATGCATACCACGAAATGGAAATATATGTCCTTGTGCTATTTTGTCCTTCCAATATTGGGACGTCTGTGCGCTTGAAACATATTCTGTATCATCAAAACAAAGCGATTTAACATCAATGGTAGTTTGTGAAGTGTTTTGTTTAATATCAAAAACTTTGACTTTTGTATAGCCAGGATGTATATCCATCGTATCCATTACTACGATAGCATAGTAGTTATATTGCACCCTCTTTAAAGGCAATGTATTTTCCAGATACCTATCCTTTAGAAGACGTGCTCGTTCAGTGCTAACTGTTGCCTTCACAGTTGTAGATTCATAAATGATATCAGTGTCGGAGTCCAGCCCCTGAATACACTCGGCTCGGCTGCCGGACATAAACATTGGTAATCCACGTATGTCCTGAATAACAAATTGTATCAGTTTCTGCCTCAGGATCATCTTTTGTACTTCTTCCATAAAAAATGCCACCGCTTTTGAACAAATATCTTCCATTTTCATGATATGGAATCCAAAGCAAAGTTTACATTATCTAAGGATCATACACGCAGAGAGTTGCGGTTTTAAAGCGTACATATACCCATGTACCGCACCTCCAAAGTGGCTACCGATTTATAGCATGTACTGGTGTATTATAATATTACGCAGTGACTAACGAAATCTTAAAATAAATATATTACGTCAAGGCTATTGTCATCCGTAATATATGTGCCAGGTTTGGTATTTCGATTGAAGCTATGACTCAGCGTACGTTTTACTTCGCTGAAGATCAACAAAATAACTATTTGTACATTTATGGCCTGAGATATGATCAAGCATGACATTATGTTTGTGTTAAAGTTTAAGAAAGGAGCCTAGAAATATTTTTGTTTATGCTAGCTTAAAAAGGAGTCTCAAAATAAATCTTGTCATATGATCAAGTAAATCTCGAGCTATTGTCTCCATTACAACCACACAATTGAATCTTCGAATGTATTACCTTCTTTTCACTATATGTCATTTAATTTGAGGTCATACCTAATAATTGTTATTAAATAAAAATTCAGTGAACTTAGAGAATACTAATACATGATAATCTAGATGATAAAAATGCATTATTAAAAATGTATATACAATGATTCATATTGTTTGAATATCATTATAAATGGAAGGCATTTTTGCCTCGTATAAAAAAGATATCAACAATCACGTGTAGAATCTTTATAGTTTATACATACATACAAAATGTGGTATTCGTGCTACCAAAGGTTTTAGTACTAAGTGGATTTTAAAGAACTCCTAGACCTTTTGATCAACTTCCAATGCCCTCTTCTAAAAACGTTTCTTCTATAAAAAAAAAAGATTTTCCACCCCGTACACCAACATACCCCATTATAGACTGAATGATGGTCTTCGTTCTCTTGTTATGGCAGTTTTCTCTTCCAAGAAAGGTGGACGGCGTTACAAATATGTGGTTGTGAATTTTACGTCCAAATCAAAGCAGAAATATCATGAAGTTTGATTTAAAGTTGTCATAAAAATGATCGAATTGGTGGTTGAAACCATCTTCGTCGAGTTTGGTGGAAAGATCTTCTAACAGACTATTGGTATACCTATACCTATGGGGACTAACCATGCCCCTCTGTTGGCTGACTTGTTACTCTGTTTTCAAAATATGCTAAATTTATTGAAGAGCTCATCAAAACAGGTCACTTAAACCTTGCCAAGTCGTTTAATTTCACTTTCAGATACAGTAAAACTCTCTTGTGTCTTGCACGCTTGAATCGAATACATTAGATAAGCTAAATGTTTTGTTCGGTCCCGATTTTGTCTCTTCTTTACCTTAGTGAATTAAATATTATATATTGATGACGTCTTGTATTTTAATTACAAGAAATATGTTGACCAAGTCAATCGTATATACCCATTAAAATTAGAAATCGAAAAAACGAAGACTCTTCTACATTAGACGCTTTTCTCGATCTTCCTTCAACGAAACTAATATGGACAGCTTTCCGTTAACCAGTATGATAAGCGTGATGATTTCTATTTCCTTATCGTTAATTTTCCATTTCTGGATAGCAACATTCCTGCATGCCAAACATATGGTGTTAATATGTCGCAGTTGATTCTGTATTGAATGGTCTGTTCCCATTATCACGATTTTTGAACAAGAGGTCAACTGACAGACAAACTAGTAGCACAAAGTTTCAAAAGATGGAAGATGCTGATAGATGAAGGAGAATACGTTTACTCTTCCGGAACACTGGGTCTCCTTCTCCTTTTACTTTTTTTCAGAAGTCTCCATGTAAATCTTTCTTTTATCCAAATGTTGCCCCCTCCCCCTTTTTTCTATTGAATATTTGTTTGAATTATAATTATGTTGACATGATGGCATTTTAAAACAAAACACTCAACTTTCATAATCGTTACGGCATTGATTGGTTTATTAAATGACATGTATAAAACCGATATGATTTACAACATAATATTATAGTAATCTGACATTGCACTCTCATTAGCTTGTACTTCATGTGATCATCGCTGAACATTCTAAAGCAAGGTCCCGATGTGTTGTAATTTGATCGGCTTCAGCAGACTTCATGAGTTGTCCTGAGACTTCAACTGCTGCCTCCTCATTCCCTTCTGCCATATAGCAATGAAATTTTAACAAATAACAGGAAAACAGTGGACTAATAAACAAAACAGATTTAGTTCTTTGTAGAACGGCTTGGATTGTTGTTGGATACAGTGCTTTTAAAACGGGTAGGTAATACGTGTCGAATATTATAAACCTCCTGAGGGTGTCTTCCAAACTTGGTCTTGGAAATTTGATCTCATAATCTGCGTCTTTTGGTTTTTTGTCCCGACTATGAAATGTATAGTGGACAATTGAGTCATTGCAACTCGATAACAGATCATCCAAGACTTCCCGTGCCTCTATATATCTTCCCTGGTATAAATACAATGTGGCCAACTGAAGACATCCGGAGCTAAGGTAGGCCTTCTTTTGTCCTTGTAAGAACAAAATGAGTTTGTCAACAGCAACCATTTTATTTTCCGTTTTCGATTCAAGAAATGATTCGTTTACCGTTTTTAAGTGTTCATGGAATCGTTGAATGGTTTGAATTTCCACACGAAATATTTCCCATATATCCTTTGATAGTTCTTGTGCAACAGCATATTCAATGCTTCTGTTGATGTGTGCGAGACAAAGATCAAATTCCTGATAGTCTGTTGATGAAAGTAAGTTAAGTGTATAATGTCGTATGGTAGATAATGCGTTGATTTTGACATGATAAAAATATATGTCATTTTCGTCTTTTTCGTCGATTCTGGCTCTCATAATAGGCTTCCATTTGTCAAGTCCTAACTTTTGAAATTGAATCAGCTCTACGAGTAATGCATCAAGCCTATCGTCTGGTTTGATGTCCATCATGTTGTTTGACGGAATAAAGTAATTCCTTATTTCTTTTTTACCAACGCAAATGATAATACGGCAGAGTAACTCCTCTAGGCATCTGCACAGGTTTTCTGGTTCCCACAAAGTTGGATTTGATTCTTCAATCATCCAAAACATAACGGTTTTAATAAAATACGACGGAAAGAGGTCAGGAAAGTTTGGACTGATTTTCACCTGAAAGAATATTTTCATGAAGTCAACACATGCAAACTGCGTACCATTGAATGACCACACAAGCTCTCGTTCTGGTTTGTTGAATGAAATTCTCCATTCGATGTCTCTTTGATGTGATAACGTGTGTCCTATCGGAACAAGATGACATCCTATGAACTCTATTTTGTTTTTAAGGTCCTTGCCTGGCCAATTATAGTTCCTCTGTCTTGTAAGCCATCCCCTTGCCTGTTCAGGCCAGTCACATTGCAAAGTAAACACAGAATCAATGTCGGTGTCGAGTCGATTTTCCATACCTGTGTACTTAAATGTAATACATGGACCGTGTGTGTAAAGACCTGTCTTCATTCCGTGTGAAGGAAACAGGTCCCGTCTTGCGAGGCGGTCTTTCCAGAATCCTGACACCAGACAATTAGATAGGAACCCATCTACACATAACAATGGTACATCTATCTCTGTGTATGATTCATCTGGTCGAATGCTGAATAGTTTTAGCTTTGTGTACCCTTCTGGTGTTCCAGCAGAGTCGAACATCACCACAGCATCATAGTCAGACGGCACGGTAGCCATGTTTCTAGTCTGGTCGGAGTTCTGTATGACTTTAACGGTCTGACACTCGTACATAATATCAGTGTCTGAATTAAGACCATGAATACACTCAGCCTGGCTACCCAGATAAGTCATCGGTACACATCCAATACACTGCATGGTGTAGTCTCTCAGCTTCACTCTAGGTATCATTTTTGTTACCTTTTCCATGAAAATCGATACTGATTTCACGCAAAGCAATTTCATTTCCTCTTTGTGACCGTCCGCCATCTTTGATATAACACACAGCGGACACATGTATACATACCTTCCAGGCATGACTCGCCCTGTCTGTAGGTGTATAAATTTGTCTGTGGACTTGCGTGTTAAATACAGAAATAGAAAAGGTAAAATAAACCTTTTTGCAACTTCGCCATATAATGCATCGACAATACTTTTATCCTATTAAATAGTGCCTTAATTCTTCAATAAAAATACACAAAGCTCTGCTAAATGCTAGTGTATTGTAAAGAGTGCAATGTTACAGAGACGTGTGTTCTGAACGACTGAACAAAACGAAAGCGCTAACACAACAACAACAACAGAGTAGCTGATTATCAATAAAAGGTACGGTTGTGTTTATATTGGCCATGTTTCAGACATAACCTTAAAAAATTGTTTCGTGTCTATTTCTCGTTCAGTTCACTTCTAAGCTTTATTTTTCGAGCGAGCATATCTTCTAAACGATTTCCACTTTAGGAACATTCGTAATTTAATAACCTTATAACATTATCTAACAATTAGCGACAACAGAAACGACAGGGAAACTGTAATAGGATTCCGACCACGGACAAAGCAGCATTAGGTGTGATCACAGATAATAGCAATGATAATGAAGTAAGTATAACAGAAGATTTTTAATAAGAAAGGATTGTATAACCTTCAAAATACATTAGAGACACGATGTCAATCTACTCGTTACGTATAATGAGTTAGTAAAATTTACTAGTAAACACAAGTGAAAATGAAAAAAAAGATGGAGTGGTACCAAAATTCACTCAAAAAAAAAATATATATACGAGTAGAGTATTTTCGTGTATTGATACAAATACTTGCCTTCAGTATCCAGTAATAAACTTAAGTGCTGCCGCCTGTACGGATAGCCAGTACATTTAATAATCTACAAACTGTGATAGTGCTAGTTTGATTAATTGATATCAGTAATTATCTAATGATATCAATAAATATCTAATAATATCACTTAATCGAATTATTGATACCACTAATTCTAATGATTATATCACAATTTGAAGATAAATACATACGCTCTTCTTTGGACGCTATTTGAGGTCTTCAAAATCTGAAATCACAAATTCGAATTTTCGATATTTTTTATTGAATTATCAATATCATTAATTTGAATACGTTAAATGAATTATAGATATTACAAATCCCGATTTATAATATCACTGAATTCATGATATCGGCAATTCATGCAATACAGTGATTTCAATAAGCATTTAATGATATCAATGAATATCTCAAGACATCAATGACTATTGGTATCACCAATTCAAATTACTGATATTGCATGTAGAAGAAAGACACTCACAGGGCGGCGTATGGAAATGTTGTTATATAATAAGACTTATTAGATAAGTGTTGCTTTTCGTCTTACTAACAGCCAGGTTAATTTAAGGACGGCGTGCCAGGTTTGGGTAGTGAAACTACCGCTCTGTGGCAGTACCCGGCGACTATAAAAATGGTGAGATACTTTAACCACTCGTCCATCTTCCTCTATGAGTAGATTTACACATTTGCGTAAAAAAAACTGTGTTAGTTTTCCTATAATAACCACATATGATCAGTTTAAATAGCTAAAAGTAAAGTGTCACAAACAAAAGGGACAATACAGCATATTATCAAAATCGTAGTTTGAAATAAATTGACGGGATGAGGACAAATTATTCATATGGAGATCCTGTGAAAAGCACAAGACTGATAATACTTGGTGTACCACAAGGGCACCCGGCTGCTTCACCGTCGACATCCGCCAAGAACTGATATATAATCCCAAGTAATGACAACCTGTAATATATCACCGGTTTACACATTTTATTTCACTAATATAAAGTATCTAACCCTGTTTGTATTGAAATGCACTATTCACCAGTGTGCTTTTTGCACTATCCATAGCAGACTTTCACATTGAATCATTGCCTAAGTCATTCAAATTCACCTTAATATTTTTTAGGAAAAATTCGGAGGGGTGGGGTGGGGTGTGTGGGGTATGTGGGGGGTGTGGGGGTTAATTATCGCTGAAAGAAGGCGTTATCGTTATCAAAGTAATCTAAGATATCTCGAAAGGAATGACGATCATAAATTTGACAAACATCATATATTGCAACTATATTTTAATTTTAGTTTCAAATTTCGCTGACTTCAAATAACGTTTTCGGTCCTTTTTTTAATCTTTAAAGCATTTGATACAAATTAATGTACTTACGAAGAAGCGGCTTTCGGCTGCTTTCCGCCTGTCGATGGTCGTTCGGTATATATATCAGGAAATTTACTCAACAATTGACGCAAAAAATACACAGATTTATATTATAGTATTAACATACATGTATAGTTTTCTGACAAAAAAAATACAAAAGAAAAACTGAATCCTTTCACTAAACTATATAAGTTATATCCATGATGCTGTCACAGGATCCGAATCAGGACCTGAAAATTGACGATGTGTTTATCTTATTTACCGTTGATAAGATATATACATGTACGTACCAGCGTGCTCTGATAATGTAGGGGCGTGATTATATCACACGTGATTATACATACTCTGGTCTGTAAGTGTTCGATGACGTTGATGGTGATTTTCTTGGCCATTCACTGGAATAATATTTATAAATATCATCGGTTTAAGTGTTAAACTGAAGTGATTATTTGTAGACGTTACCTGACGAAATGAGAATGGATTATCGTCTTTCGTTTGCAGTTATTGTCTTAAATGTCATTGTTTCTCCAGTTCTCTCAGCATCTACTACATCCAGTTATGGTAAGTCTGTGTGTCGGCAGAAACATAGGCGGTATAACAGTTTGATATGTTTTCAGTTATAATTTCTGACACCAATTAGTACATATATATGTACCTGTTAAACTTTGATATACACGTAACTTAGGTAAATTCATCGAGTTACAAAGTTTATTCAAGTAGTCCAATTGAATTGTATTATCTAAAAAGTACAGATATTTGTTTGTGGAACGAAATGAAACCTTAAGGTATATTATTGTATGTGTTATTAGGGACCAGGCACAATAATCCTAGTTTTACAAAGCCTCCAAAGTCTCCTATTCTCAGCGAGCCTTGTATTCCAACGACCAGATACCCCGTTAATCTGTGAATGTTTTACTTTTAACTGCAATAACTTGGCTACAATATATGCCGATTAAGTTTGGTCAAAGTGACTAGAAGTTTATGACGTTTTCATCCCATTTTTAAAAAGATTTTCCCCCGTAACAAATGGCTGGTTTCATTGAAAAAAGAATCACGTGCGTTTCAGTAAAGAACAAAACATATTCACTATTTTATGTCTATCAAATTTCAAATACTACATAATTAAGTATTTAACTTAAGCAATTTGCTTTCTGTTAACGCAGTAATTGCGCAAGTACTTCGAAATAAGTGACCATGCAAATCGGGCATGATTGATAACGTTGCCTAAGAATTTAAGATCCATCAAAGGTCGCCGTGCCTCATCCCCGCCCAATTTAGAAATAACACCTGATGATATCGGTGTTCAATATCGTATTTAAATTCTGTCCAGGTATAAGAGATTAAGCCTGTGGTAACTGCACCTATATCTCTATGAGTTGAACTGACCCTTGGTCTAGTGTGTTAGTGATTGACTGAGATAGCTCCGTGCTATAACGATACATACCATAGCACAGGGGCATGAGAAGTTGTTAAATACATTTTCATATTTCATTAATAGAGCAACACTCTCTCAAAATGGACACCTCTCTATGGTACATCAAATCCATAGATTTACGAGTCTAATCATAACAGAAAGGGTCATACTATACATGACGGTAACATTTCATTATCAAGTCCCCGTCCTCTCAACTATAATTACATTTTTATTAAATGGTATCGTATTTGATCATTGAATATTTAGTGAACTGTACGTTAATGCATCGTCGGAAACCCAAGAGACTCTGCTCTGCCATTTGAGTCTCAAGTTCGGACGAGACTCTGCTCTGTCGTTGGAATCTCGTTGGCTTCATACGATTATCCAACTACACAACATAACTGTAGGATACAAATGTATTAGAAAGGGATACTGTTCCCTAGTGTAAATATTCTGTTCTTTGATATTCACAGAAAACATAACGAGCATAACCACCGACAGTTCGAGCATACTCCCTATCAATAACGCAACCACCACACTTCCGCCCAGTGACAACGGTACTACAGCTACACTTCCGGTAGACAACACCACTATACTGATAACGACAGAACACTCTGCCAACTACACGGGGTCTACCGTAACTTCCGGACAAACGACACAAACAAATCCAGTAACTATAACGGAATTACCACTCTCAACGACAACGAGCGCTTCTTCTTCCGGCTTTGACGGCGGATCGTTCGCCGGTGGCATTGCCCTTGGTGCTGGTCTCGCACTGATAATGTTTGGAATTGCATGCTACTGTCGTCGGCGCTCAGGGTACAGCAATTTGGCTACATAGATTTTTTTTTTTTTTTTTTTTAACAAAAGTCATAGGGAGGTGTCTTCATAAAAGCAGTATCTACGCATTCATTTGTCTCGATTATCCGGAACCTTATGGAATTCTTCGTCGAATATGAATACCTATACATTTAGTTTCTTTCTGATTTATGATTACGTGATCTAGATTTGTTTACCACTGGTGAAGGTGTCAGTACCATACAAATTTGCTAAGTCTGATAGGCAGATATTTCAGATATTAAATAAGTATGGGGCTTATGTATTTTTAATTTGCCCGTTAGTGATACCTGGCGTGGAGGTCGAGAGCCAAACTGTTTCGAGTTAAACGATGTTTCCTCGTACATTGTACATGTAATATACTATTGTCCTATAGAAAGAGATTTTATCGAAAGGCATAATCTATGTGTTCTGGTTCAAAATGTATCAACATTGTTTATTTTGATAAATTCGGTACAGTGTTTGATCATATATTCAAAATAATACAAGGAAGGAGAAACAAGTGGGGATTATAACATTAAAATAATCATTAAAGTAATTTTATCTAAACATTATGATTAAATAGATTATTGACAACTCAATTAGCTATTGATTATCTTCAATGTAAACATTTTTTAAAATAAAAATTGAGTGACCTGTCGTTCTCAAGATTGTCACGTGATTAATAACAGTCCGTGAAATGAAAAAGAAAACATACATGTATGTAAGGATAACAATATTAGAAAAAACATTTCTTAATAAGGATTTTATAAAGAAGGCAAACTGTAGGTGGTGTCCAACTTTAACGGGTTGAACTGTATACCCTATGTCCATTACACGACCATAAATGCACCCCCTTCTCCCGTTCTTCATCAAAACGCTAACTTATTATCTCAACTGTTAAAGAGTCACAATATTGTAATGTAGTGATGTGTACCAATCGTTGTCGTCAGAAAGTCAATTATTTAAAACTGTAATTTTTTTCTCATTACCAACCTGATATTCTTCTGATATTGGGGCGCATATAAGATAAACGTAACTTACATCCTTAAATTATTTACTATCAGTTCCTACTGACACGATATCCCTTGTTCTACTCGTAGGTCTGCCAGCCTGATAACATCGTCCATGGAGTATTGAGAAGGGTCAAGGTATCTATTTAACCTTGCGAGTAAGCATTCTTTCTGGTTTGCAATAAAGAGGCGAAATTCTATATATATAGATATATATATGACGTCAGAGATCTTATTTATACCTGTAAGTGCATCTTCGATTCGTCTGCTGGGTAATTAAACGATTAGGTGGTGAACATATAGCCACTCATTCTCTCCGGCCCTGGGGACCTTGTACTGTTGACAGTTCATACTGAGTTCAACAAAACTGCAATGATATATTAGAGTTAAATCACATTGTGCGAATCAAGCAAAACTTAAGTTTACAAATAAGTATGATCATTTGTCAAATCAGGTAAGCTCTCTTTTAGTAAACTTAAATATAACTTATTGAATAGTTTTGCATTATCAAAAACCTGCATTCCATTTCATGATAGAATAAGTATTCATAAAAATGGTGTTGATTTGTCTAGTTTTTGTATTTGTATTTTGACATCAATGGTATAACACCGATCAATTTTTTTTTGTTTTTACATTTTTGCATTCTTATCTCCCTGAGTACTTCGTTTCATTCTGTTAGGATAGCAATAATCAATATAAGCGTGACAGCAAATGGGGCTCAAGAATGACATTTGTGTGATATGGCTCAGCGTTGGACATGATTGCCTGAAAGTGTATCTATTTCTTTCATTGTTATGTCATAACTTTCTGGACTTTGTGACGTCACCAAAGAATACATAGATTAAATATTTATTATATAGATATTTTGTACCAGTAATTAAATGCTGTTTTCACCAACGATTTAAAAAATATCTTAGTCGTGTGATAAACAGAATCTAATATTAGTTTCCATTTCTTCTATTGCAAGTGATAAATAAGCGTGTGAACAAAACCATTTGTTTTTTCTGGTAGTTTTCTAGCTGGTATTCGGTTAGAATTTATTGTATTCGTAAAATCAAAATTAAAATATGGCATATCAATATTCCAAACATTGTTTGTTAGAATGTACAATCACAAGTGAGGAAATAAATATGTATATATGTGTGTGAGAGTATGAACAAGGACTTACTGAGGTATAGCGGATGGTGCATATCTACACAGGTCAACTGTTGCTTTGCTCAATGAAATCTCTACTGAGTGTGCTTCTGTTTATCTAAGTGTGTAAGACAGGTTAAAAACGATACATATGTCTAGCAATGTATAATTATTTTCTATAGAATTTGTTGATTGATTTGTAACTATTAAATTATCGTAACTAAAAATGTAGTTCGTGTTTGTTGTATTTCTATGCGAGATTATGCCTAGATACAGAATGTAGCTGCAATCGAATGCACCTTTCAATTTCTGACTGCCAAATAATAATTATCTCAATCTCGATTATATCGAACAGTGAATATTCACAATGAAGAAATTCAGTGTTCCAAATTGATAATATGAAGACACATGTTAATTTAATTAAATTAATTAATTTAATTACACTTGGGAGATTTGATTTAACCGAAGATTCCTTTACAGTCATCTTTTTGGAAGGGAGACAACCATTGCAAGTTTTAATTTGAACATCCAGCAACTTCCTGTTTTCTGTGCATACGTACTTCCTGTTAAGAAAGGAACAAAATTACCAGAAGCTGCAAACGCAAATAACTCGATTTTACAATGAATCAAGTGATGTTGGTGCCCTTTGTCGTTTTGTCCAGCATCCTGCTGCTGTCAGGTAATTTTGACTCGTCAAACTTATTATTGTCAATCACATTTTTCGCTAACCTTTCTTGTCGAAGAAGGGTGTAATTTGCATGCGTAACTAACTGGTCATGTGGTCGTGACATGATCAGATCATTGATAAACAACATACGTTATATCGTCAACAGCTGAGGATTTTTTTTATTAAACTGTTAACAATCAAGTGATCATGACAATTCATAGTAAAACGAGTCCGGAGATTAGTGTCGAATTAAAATGTAGGACAGAAAAAGCAGAATAGACATTAATATAAATTTTTGTTTAATTTACAACAATTGCGAAACAAGTTATCAAACTTACACTTATCTCTCTTGGCGGGCCAGATGGAATTGCAGGAGAGGTCTTACCGGAGTATCCAGGGAAAACCCACTTGGTTAGCCAGCAAGTGACTCCCTATCTATAATTTTCATGTCGGTTTTGGGAGTCAAACCCCATTGAGGTAAAAGAAGAGAGTGCTACCATTGAGGCACCGACCATCCATAACTGACGCTGGTTTAGTTTACAAAGATTTGGATTGAGAGGACTTATTTCCTACTCAAAATATGTATTTTAAATTATATAGACATAAATGTTGATTAGTCAGATCATGGATGTATAATACTAGTGTGTTATATTTGGTCAGATTGAAATGCAGAAATACAATCACCATCTAAGTATAATTATGTTGAAAAAGCACATGTGAGCAATTAGTAACAAGCAATATTTCAGTTAATTTCACTTACTTTTTGAAAAAAAGGGTGAAAGTGAAACTAGACATGAATGTTTCCGAGAAGGTGGCTGATAAGGGATTTTCGAAAATGTCTAATATTGATGGATAACTTGTTTGGAGGGTTAAGTGTTGTTGGTTAATAAGTTGATTGTTATATTGTTTTGCTGCAGCTGCTGTCAATCACAGATAAAGATTTTGACTGAAAGTCCAAAAAAAATAAATCAATAAAAAATTGTGAAAACAAACTTATTACAAGGAGACATCTTAAAATAAGTAAACCTTGAATAAATGATTTCAGAAAAAAAATTTAAGTCTACATGTCTGTTCAATGAAGATTTTTTTTCTTTTTGGCATCACTCATTTGGTATCAATATACATGTATCCATAATCAGTTAATTTCTGATTATTTTTTTTATTATTTTCCTATTACTACCTGACTGAACTCCTAAGTTAAATGTTCCCTGTTGAATATTGACAGAACTTTGCTCAATATTAAGATTTTCATGTTCAAGTGGTATGATTGACGCTCACCTAAGGTTGAACACCCAAGAATTTAAACCTGAGCTGGGGCCTTGGCATCAATATTTTCGGTTCTGTTTTTAAGATTGAGGATAATTCCAATATAAGGTTTGATTTACAACTTCCCAGAAATTTGAATTGATTTTTCTTTCACTATGGTATTGTTTGTTAATGTGGCATCATATTGATTTGTATTTTGTTGGTTTCATTTCATCATATGGACAAAATTGTAAATATTATGAAATTGATGGTAGCATGTGTCTTAAGCTAAACAGTTTGTTCATCTTCGGAAAGGGAAGTAAATATCATTACAAAGATATTGAATTTGCACCAGCTGTTAGATTTGGTTCAATGAATCTTAAATTAGCATATAAAACTTTGCACATAGAATTTTCCAATCAATGTTTATGGAACATGTATACATAAAACACCAGATGATATCAATGTAAATGATCTGTGTACAGTGTTGGGAAAGCATGTGAACATGATGTGGTAAATTTTGACTTGCCGTAGTGTTGGCCTCATGTACTAGTCAAAATATGGTAGTGTTCTCAGTAACACTACTATAAAGAATAGGTGGTTGATCTGCTGGTTATATACTCACTTTCATTGGTAAAATATTCAGTGGACTATGATGATTGACAGATCATTTCTGCTACAGCATTTGATAATAATGAGAGCACTACATTAAGCAATCGGCCATTTACTTATCAGTGGAGTATAAATTATGACCAGTTTAGACTGCAAGTACATCTACAAGGGCTAGTAACAATTTTTCTGGAGGATGAGGGCTTGTATAGTATTTTATAACTACTAAAGGGTACTAACTAATTATAACATACCATATAAACCTTCATCCCTTAGAACATTCTTACATCCCCCTGTGATACACCTAGGGTATAAATTGTATATATACAATGTGCCTCTCATTCTGAACAAGATCATGGAAAAGTTAAGAATTATGAAATGAGCATGAATAATAATTCTAAACAGTCATTGGAATGCATACCATTGTACTGACATTAACTCTTTTTTAAAAATTCTATTTAAGTATTTTTCATAGATTTTTTTTGTCGTAAAAATCTGACAACTTTTTGAAATAAAGTATGATATGAATCTTTAGTATATAAAAGTGAAAGAAAAATACAATTCAAACTAAATACAGGATTTGGTTTTGATATCCTTAGCAGGATTTCCTTGTACATATGCATATTTTGGTCTTAAAATTTCTAAATTTCTTCCTGTTTGTTTGCATCAAGATATTCACATCCTGCAGTTATAGAGAAACTCAGTCTATACACTTAAGAATTAAATCAGCGAGTCAGAACCTGATCTCACATCTAGATAACATACTAGTATGTCCTGTATAGACTTTAGCCTCAGTTACTGGTTATTATGCCATTCAAATCAAGTCGCCGAGTTCATTTGTACATATAATGATAAACTTCTTCTACCTCATTTAATCAGGCTGTTTTCTAAAAGATTTGTTTAAAATCGCCTATAACACATTAGCATATTATGTGGATTTCAAGGTTTACATGATGTTATACTGTAGGAAGAATGAAACTTTGACTCATTTCAGGGTCACGTGTCTGTCAACTATATTAAAATTTCTTTATAACCTTGCATAGCTTTGACTATAAAGGTTAAGAGTAATGATAATTTAAGGCTTGTAGTTTGTTAGCAAGATGTTTTTAATCATTAAATGGAAGTTTCTTTGATTTTTAATATTTCAAGCAAAATGTTATATATGCATTAGAGTTCCTGTAGTCCATCATTACCGGTTAGTCTTTTTTCTTAGTTGATAATCCTATGAACAGCCACAATGAGTTTTAGGTAAGGTCTCCTTCTTGGGTGGCTACCTCTCAAACCAACATGCAGAAGACTTCTATAGCATACCATGCCGAGTTTTGAGTTCTTTTATTCTATCATTTGTCTTATCTGGGTGGATGAAATCTTTAAACAAGAAGTGGTTTAATAGCGAAAGATAAAGGATTGATTGAAGCCTGAAGTTTGTTAGTTTTCTATTTTTTATGCTTTATTCCCATTCAAGGTCATATAATTGAGATGTTCATTGGCTGAAGACATTGAGTAACAAGTAAGACTGAGTGATTAACTATGATTCACAAGGCTTTTTAGCATTTTGCTCTAGAGATGCATATATGTATATTATGATATTACTGGTGCAGTATTTCATTGATGCCAAAGACAATTGATAAAGACATCACTGATCATAGTGCATTACCAAAAAAAATGTTTTAAAACTGAATGATTTATTGTTTGATTTCCTTGCCTTTCAGCTCCCATTGCTGTTGACACTGCAGGTGAGTTGTGTAGATTACATGTTTTTCAATTGTTACATTCTCCTTGATAAATATGGAATATATATATTGCCACTGGATTTCAAATTTGTGGGTACATATAGATTTATAGAACTTTATACTCCAATTACACTGCTGTAGGAGAGTCCTAGGGAAAATCAAGGATACAAACACCTGTTACATGAAAACCCTTAAATTATTATGCATATGATATTTACTGTATCAGTATGTTTAAACACAATTTCTGAGACCTGATCTTTCTTATATCTCTGGCTGCTTGAGTGTTTAACATTACTTTATATGCCTTGTGTTAAAGTAAGTGTACACATTACAGACTTTCTTGTATTCTATCTTGCTTTGATCGTGAATTACATATGCAGGAAAAACTGTGCACATGAACTTAGAAGTCAGTGAATATGTCTTTGGAACATTGTGATTTTATCTATCAAAAAAAGTTGCATAACTTAGTTAAAAAGCAAAATACATTGTATAACTTTTAAATAATTTTAGTAAAGAACAAGGCAAGATTTTGATTAGTGCTATGACAAAGGGAAAATCAGGTAGAATATGAGAAGTAAATGTATATGCATTTCTTAGATAAGCCCCAAATGTAATGGATCATCAAAATGTATTTAGGAGCAAAACGCAGCACAGTGTATGTACATGTATTAACATGTACCTAGTTTATCTAAGTGGCAATTGGAAAAAATTATATCCAGAAAATTGACAGGCCTAGTCCAGCAAATGGGTATTAAAATTTCATCAGCTTAAATGCAAAGCTCTTACTAAAAGAGGAAAGGAAATGAAAAATTACCATATGACAAGTGCAGATTACAGCATTGAAAATCAGGATAATATTTATACTTTAGAAGGATATAGGAGTGGTGGTTGATCAGGATTCAAATTTTTCGTTGTACATTCAACATGCCATAAATAAAGCAAATAGTATTGTTGGGTTCATAAAAAGATCATTTGTATACTTGGATGAAATCACATTTAAAGAGTTGTGTAAAACATTAGTCTGTCTACATACAGTATATAGTATGTGGCATGTTTATGGAATCATTACAAAGTGGAAGACATCGAAACAATTGAACCTGTACAATGGAGAGTTACCAAATAAATACCAGACCTAAAAGAATTATCCCATCCAGATCATCTTCTTAAACTTCAATTACCAACACTTGTTTCTCAAAGGTTTAGAGTGGACATATAATTAATCTGCATAAAATAAGGAACAATTTCTATGGTTGTAAGGTAAACAGTGGCGTTTCTTAGCTAGGTGATTCACAGAGAACCAGAGAAACCTCACAGGAACTAAGGAGAAAATATAGTAAACTTGATACATGGAAATATTCATTTGGGCTAAGAACCGTCAATATTTGGAACAATTTCCCTGATAAGGTTGTTTCGGCAAAAAACATTTTAGATAATTTGAAATCATAATGAATAATCGCTGGCAAAATCTAGAACTGACAATAACCACACTGTGAGATAGAATTGCATTGGAAGTTATATTAATGAACTTACATAAGTTTTTATGTAAAAACTTAATATGGACATAAAGTCATTGTACGCCTGTGTTCGTAAATTATCCTATTAAATCCTAAATGATATATCATGTGTGGTGTTATATAGCTTCAGACTTATGTAACTTTGAATGCATCACAACTTTAAACTAAGCCTTTGTTCTCTTGTGTACATGCTGGATTGATGCTAAGATCTAAGTTCTAGGTATTAGGTTGATTTAAGTATGCGCTGTTTAAGGTTCATAAATTATCCAATTTAATCCTATTAAATATATCTTTCATTTGTATCTGTATTAGATTTTCTCCCTTCCATTGCTGCATATAAACCACTGATAACACTTTTACATATGTGGGTATTGTATTAGCATATATGTTTTTGAACTAATAAAAAACAAGTTTCCATCTCCCTGAATTGATACCATATTTTGTATCTAGACCTAAAGAAAAACTTCATTCTTTATAAATGCACTCATCTAAATCAGTTTGTGTCCATCGTTTTTTTTTTTTAGAAAAAAGATGGGTGATTTATCTATCTGTGAAATATTCAGCCTTGTAATATGTCCTGGTGGTCAGTAATTAATTTGTTGAAATTATATGTGTTATGGATCTTAATGTGGAAAGAAACAAGAGTACCCTTGAAAACCCCACATGGTCGGGCTGATTACCCCATAACTTTTCTTGTCTATGTGGGGAATTGAACCGCAGACACCTAGGTGAAAGGCAAGTGCGTTATGACTGCATCGCCAGACCACCCAGTGTGAATCCTACATAATCTAAACATACTTCATTTGACTCAATGAAATCTTGTTGCATTATCACTTTGTGGCAAATTAATTAGCGCAATGATAAATTTGTACATCTACAATAATTTCTATATGAATAACATATTAAAAACTGCAGTTAGCAAAAACATATTTTAGCACAAAACTTCCCGTTTGAAAAGTGCTAAAATAAGAATACCTCCAAAATATGTATTTCTGCAGTAATGTACATTAAATACAAATCTGAGTCATTTATTTTTCCATACCTCTGCAAAACTAATTTTCATCTTATCTTGGGTTGGTTATTAACTGATTTCCAAAATATTTTATGTTCTATATTAAAGAATGAAATCTTGTTAAATACCATTATAGTTACATATGTATTTAGTGATATAAATCTAGTGTTTGTTTACTTTCCAGATGCCTGTAACGGTAATTCTAATTCATCAGATTGCTGTAGCAATGCTGGCTGTGGATGGTTTCAGTGTAAAGATGATAGCAGTGAACAAGTCTCAAGTAAATATTCACACTTGCTCTACGTTCTACTATTGTAATGAACCTTATAATCTCATGGTTTTCAAGGAAAAGGGGGAATAGAATTGTAGAATTAGAGAGTACAGGTTGCCTTATTAGCCTCAGATAGTGGGAATTTCCCTTTAGTCGTGCAATAGAGTGTTAAGCTCGAGACTGAACAGCTGGGTGTTCATTACTCCTTCCTATAACAGATTTGGTGCTGTTGACCACTCAAAAAAGAGAAGCTCTAGCAGATTGAGATACTTCCTTGGAGATATCGAATCTGGATTATTGTTGTCTTCGAGGCTGAAGACTTCATGAAAGAGGGGGTAGTGTAGAATTTGAGATACAGGTCACTGTACTAGCATCAGCTGGCGGGAATTTCCCTCTAGTGGTGCGGTAGAGTGTCCAGCTAGTGATCGAAGGGAAGTTAGTTGGAACCTCAGTGGTGTCAGGGTATTTTTCATTACCCCTTCTTATTACAGTGTCAGTTTATTTGTCCGTCCACTTAGTCACTCACCCACCCACCCATCCTGCTTTAATTTCCTTGTGATGATATCAATCAAATTTGATCTGTAGGTGTATTTCACTATCCCTTATTCTGTCTTTGACTACGATTTCATTTGTTGATATTATACATAACGAATTGGGTCCTTCATTTCTGATTGGCTAAATGGTTTCCATGCAATAACTTTGCATAATGTGATTGGATTTTCATTTATGGGTGTATGTCTTAATATCCTTCAGCCTGAGTATGACTACTGACATTGTTTGCTGACATTTATGCATAATTGATGAGGTACTTGATTTATCATTAAGGAGTGGGTTGTCAAGTGATAACTTTCTTTGTTCTAATTGTCAACGTATTTTAAGGGATTTCCGTTTACAGATGGATTTAACCATCCTTTCATCACACATGAACTGCATTATAAATTTACCATTAAAAGTGGGGGATATAAGTTCCCTAAAGTTGCTTGTTTATATGGCATTAGACTCTTAAAGCCTCGGCTAACATGGAAATTCTTAAATTAACTGAAGTAACTAAAAGTGACCAGGGGTGGGTTTATTGTGGGACATTGACATAACATTTGTTTTTTATTTTACCGAACAGCAATTAACCTCAGTGTAATATAGCTATATCCTTAAAATTTTTTTTTGCTGAATCGATATCGGATTGTCATACTATACAGTGTTCTGAGAACTTCACATGCTTTCTTTAAGATTTAGACATGCAAGTGTTTAAGTAAAACATACATGTACTTTTTATAACTAATGAATGGTTTAGCAAAAGTATTACAGTCCTATGATAGATTACTATACCGACTTACACAATTAGTTCTATATCTATCAATGGAAATGTCATCCTCGACCTTCAAATGCCCTTGTCTTGCAAATATACAAATGTAACGATGTGTATTAAAGGTCTACCCATACCTTAATTATGCTAAAGGATCCTGTTACTTTACATATGAACAATGATAATCCAATACTTGGTGTTATTTGATTAAAAATCTTGCAGAATCTCTTATATTGATTGTGATATACCACTTGTATATCTGACTGTTTAGTTAACACTTCTGATCTATGTTTCTGTGTAGCTTGTCTGAACCTCACTGATTCGGATGCCATCAATAAGACATGTTCAGGCAGTACTGATAAAGCTGACTTCAAGAGCAAATGTAAGTATTTCTCTTCAAATTTAATGTAACTTTAGATTCTAATTCAAAAAGGTTGATGTGTTTGTAAAAAGACTTATCTATTTATTCTTAACCCACTGTCAGCAGATGATGGACTTTTCTTCTAAAACATGTACATTTTGGTCTTCCAATCACTTTTTCACCTTACATATAATATATTGTAATATGAAAACTGTTTACAATAACTACCTGTAATCATCATGAAATTTAAGGTTGTGAATATTAAAGGGCCTAGATGTGGAGTAATATAGGATTATAGAATTATTGTCCGTTTAAGATGACTCTCGATGACCGTTTCATATTTCTATATACCAAGTTTGTGATTGCTTGGATTGTCAAGATATTTGAAGAATATGATTTTTATTGTCTCTAGATGTGCATATCACATGGGTTGTTATTTAAAGTTTGATATTTAATGTTTATTGTTGATTCTTTCCAAAAATTATCACGAATGCAACAATATTGTAATTCAAGAATTGTAAATAACAAAAACCTACCTTGGTTCCTGTCATGTGACAACTGCATCTTCAAGGTCAAGGCCATTTCAGTTATATTTACATTAATATTGTGTGATCAAATTGTAACACACTATTGAAGGATATCTGTATAATGTTGTCATCACAATAAAGAAAGTTCAGTTGTATGAAATTTGAATATGTTACCACTCTGGTTCATGTCAATTAATATTGAGACCAATGGAAAATGGTTGTGACAGAGACAAGAACAATTGGATATAAAATCACTCAAGAACATGTATCCAATGTTGGATGGCAAGATCCTTCTCAGATGTGCTGTTTCTAGTTCTAGATCTGAACATTAAGTTTATCACTGTTACGTCAAATAGTACACATTTAGTTAGATTGGTTTAAGTATGCACTGTGTAAGGCCATACAAATCCCATGTTTAAAATTTGAAAATAAGACTGAATATTTCTTAAATTGTAGAATGATGATATGAATGTACACATAATTCAATTGTTTTTTGTTTTTGCGTGCTTGTATTGAGAATATTGCATAGAAATACAAAGCATCTGAAATTTTCTCTGAAGTGGAAGCTGATTTGTAATTATGATGATGAATTGGAAACAAAATTTTTTTCTTCTTAATTTCAGGTTCTGATGCACGTAAGTATGCTGAAATGATTTTCCACTTTCTGTTTTAAAAGAAAATAAGAATGTGAACTTGTAGTGCCGATGATCGGGGTTTACAATTGTCAAAAAAAATGAAAGAGATTTCCCTTCATTTTCTTCATGTGATAATTAAATAAAAGAGCTGTCCATTATCACAAAAATTCTCCGTAAGATAGACCTGATTAAGTGAGCTGTTTCAGATGTACAATATACACGCATGATATATATTCTTTGTTCAAAGCTATCAAAGTTAATTCATTCTTCAGGAGACTATTTAATTATCTTGATAAAACATGAGATAATTCTTGTCTTAGTTGATTGTAAATCTAATTTTGAGGGTTATAGTGATTTAATAATGTTTTTTTTCCTGTTTCCAGCTACCATCAGCTGTAAAGACCGAAACAACGATACATGTTGTAATTCTGGAAAAGATTTCGGATGTGGCTTGTTCACATGTGGAGGAGAACAACGTAAGCTTTCTGTCAGATCTCCTAATAATTACCTCCTTTTGATTTGAGGACACTGTTTGTTGTCTTTTATTTCACTAGTTTATAAATTATCTGTTACTTTGTAGACGCAAAATGTCGTAATTCTTTGAAAATCTTAAATGTCAACTGGTTATTTGAATTTCTTAAGATGAAAAAACTTTGTTTTGAAAATTCTTCTTCATTTGACATAATTTTTTTATCGAATTCGAGATTTAGAGAGAATAAAGATTAGCAAAAATCCCTTTATTACTCAACACTTTTAACAAATAATTTTCTTCTAAATTCAGAATTTATTGTATTTACCTTTGTTTTGAAACTTTGTTATTACAAAGAGTCACAGCAAGCATAGCAGAATATATAATTCACTGGAAGTTTGGTATGAATTTCTATCATATTTTTCATTTTGTAGGCTGCTGGAACTTGTCCGATTATGATGGATTTAATGCTAGTTGTACAACTGACAATAAAACAGCAGATCAGACAAATATGTGTATGTATAAGTTAGAGTGTAACAAAGTCAATCACTTTATAGCGGATAGTGTCTTCCTTCCAAAAGATTTCCCATTTTGACAAATTGCTATTATTTATTACCCGGTAAATACTAATATTAGGACATTCTCAGTAACTTTTGGGACTGAAATATTTTAGTCCTAGGACAAAATCAAATTTTTAGAACTCACTTTTATCTCTTTGTTAATGGGTTCACAAAAATTCTGGAAATGGTGCTCTGGACTTCCCAGAAAAATATCCTACAAAAATTACTGATGCTTACAAAAGGGAAAGTTTTCACACAGTTGTTTATTGTATAAAGCTGCGTAGGACTTAAAATATAACATAACTTTCAAGTATGATGCATACATGTACTTGTATGTCCAATGTTGCACATGTGTCCTTGTCTCATTAGCATATGTATCATGCTTGTATTGAAAGGTCTTGATTGAAAATCTTGGTAATCGATGTTCCATATTTCAATTCTAAACCTTTATAAGTCAGGCATGGTGGATATAATGATAACCAGCTATATTGTAGATGAATACTTTGTAAAAGTTACATATAACTTTTCTCAAAGAGATTTATTTCTTATCCTTACAGGTGAATCACTTCCAGGTAAGTTTTATTTCACAAATCATAATTACATTATAGTCAAGTTATATTTGAATATTAAAAAGCTTACAACACTAACACTACCATGTATAGTGTTCCTTATTTGTTAAACCTTGATGTATGAAGCCCTATGATCAAAGATATGATAAACTTGGATGTACAGACGAAATCTCGGCAATTATTTTTCAAAATGCTCTGCTTTTAATTGATATATGTAATCTTTCTTACACGTGTCTTGTTTGCCAACCTACACCTCTTTTTCCACATATTAGATCTCCGCCATATTTCATTAATAGGTGTATACATTCTCTTGTTTGTTAAAAAAGACAAACTCTTCTGATGTGAAACAGGGAATCTCCTTTTCAACCCAGTGCTTGATTTTTCTGTCTTATCTGATTTTGTCTGGTACCTTTTATGAGAGTTAGCAATAAATATCTCCATAGCTACAAAGGGAGTATTTACACTATATGAGGCACGAAAGTGGCACAGATTGTATGTGTGTTCACATGTTGTACATGATATGTAGATATTTAATCTGATGTAATTTCTATGATCATTACTACCAGGAGTCGTGGGTGGAACAGGTTTGTATATATAGAAACATGTTTTGAATTTTCTTGGTTTGGACATCCTCTGATATCTATACATTCTTTCCTCCACCTACATATATTTGTCTTTAATGCTTAACCCATTTCATCCATTTAAAAACAGTATGATTTTGTGTCTTCATTGTTTTGTAAACTACAGCATCCACTTGTCTGTATATAGAGATGCACATATGAAATGATCATATGTGAAAGTGGGTTATTTAGTGTGACCTATAAAACCTAGCTAATGTTGGTTTTATAACCTCTGGTTTATGGCAGACTTGAATTAGTGAATTATTAAGCTTGAATGGAGACAATGGTTCTGTTTCTGTCTGACTTTTTAGTTAAAGTGATTGTTTTTCTTTATTCTTTTATATATACGCAATGATTTCCTTATCTATTTGTAAACTTGATTTCTCGGGTACTTTGATAAGTGCTAGCTGTTCTGCTGTAAATTTAACTACAATAGTCCAAAATTACTGATATGTTTATAGTTTTCATTGTAAATAAATTTACTGCAGAATCTTTAAAAGTTTGTAAAAGGCAAAATTTTCCATGCCAGTTAATGAGATAGGGATGTAAAGCAAGTATGTTTGAGATATACTACTCCCAGTTTTAGCATCAGCAATTTTACCAGCAGGGCATTTTGCAATTATATAAATTATAATTATATTCAGGACATACTTTATTATTTATATTTTCACCAACATTTTTGGCAATGTTGATTAGGTTTTTGGTTATATATACTTATTTATTTTGTATTTTGTATTTGCTGACATATATTGAGAAAAAACCTCTTCTAATACGGTGGAGTAAATTTAGTAATGGAACCAGCTAAAACATTGTTGGCAAGAGCATTGTGACATCACACTACAGTAGGACCACTTGTTATTCTGGTCCTATCCTTACATAGGCTGTCTAGTATTGTTGAAATAGGATGACAGCAGATCAGTGTACATAAGTATGCACAATAAAGGCCTAAGGATTGAATTCATATTCTCTGCCCAAGGATTTGTTTTTATGAATAATGCTTATCAGTTTAATACACGTGCATACATTGCAAACTATAGATTAGGGAATCTTGTTTATTACAAGATTATGAAGTCTTGGTGCACTTAAATGTAGTCTTTCAAAGGATATGGAAACCTATTTTATGTATATGGTACATGGGTGTCTTTCCTTTGTTTACATTTAATGTTCTGGTTTTGATTTGCCATGATCACTCATGTGAAATATATCTTGCTTTTAGGCTTCCTCCAGAAAACATTCACCTGGTATTAGGACAAGTGATAAAATACCTTTAATTCTAATTTCTTCACAGTAAAGATATCTGCTGTTGCCATCATTTACTTACTATCAGATTGATATGGATGACAGTGTTGAATGGTCAATATCAGTGAAGAACAAGTACTATTATTGATGTATCAGAATACTGAAAGAGCATAGCCATAGTTGTTATCAGGAGCAGAGTCCTAAAGATGATATTATCTTAGCTTGTAGAAGCTTAACTTGAGAATTTTTGATATTTGTAATTAAAGAATTAGGAGGAAATTGCAATTATCTATTGACATGTCGATCGGTTTCGCTTAAATCTGGGATTCCTCAGGTCAGTAACATATTTAGACATTATAAATATTTAGACATAAGAACTGAAATGGAAAAATCTAGACATGAAAATACTGAAATTCTGGGCACCTAGATTGTTATTGAAATTTTTGGAATATTTCACAATAAGCATGATAATAGATGAACATAAAATCTGGGATAGCTGTGATTGGTTAGGATTTAATTAATTTAATTTACTGTTTATCTGCTGTGAGATGTCCCTGTAAAGGTCACACAGAATTGGAGTGTGTAAATAACAGATCTGAAGTGTAAACACTAAAACCCAACAATAAGAATATCTATTACTATATATATAGGTATGTAAAGAAAATTTTGAAGGCAAAATTTCAGTTATGTATTAGAAATTAATGTATTTAGAAATGGAGTCAACATGCTTGACAACTTTCCTGATTTAGCCGGATTTAGCAGGGAGTTTCTCAATTTTCACTTCCAGGTCAAGCCTCCCTATTGTTATGATTCCTGTATGAAATATTTTGAGAGACAAGGCAGATATCATGTTGTTTCTTAAATTTCATTCACAAACTTTTTTCCCCTATGAGAATTAATTTTAAAAAGTTGGCAAATGTGAGCTAGCAATTACAAGTCAAATAAAAGCTGTGGGCAAAAAAAAAAAACAAAAAACAAAAACAAAAGAAAAAGACTGGGATACTTGCCAACTTTGGGGAAAATTTAGTTGTATAAATATTGAAGTTGTAAGAAAACTGCATTCAAAAGACAGTATTTATGTTTAGAATTTCATCATCTTTTTTATTTATCAAATAATCAACTTTAGAAATGCAAAAAAAGAAAATAAGAAATAAAAAGATGAATAAATAAATAAAAAATCCGAAAGAAAAAACAAAGAAAAATATGTAAAAGAAAAAAAAATGATTGTTAAAAAGCTCATTGTAATCAATAAGAGAAGAATGTTTGTTATATATAACAATGTATTGTAAAGCATGGATATTGAGCATTTATCTACATTTTAATTGTTTTATCTAATATTGTAATATGTGTTTGTAGTTACCTGTGGTAGTTACAATACCAGCTCGGACTGCTGTTCTTCCAATGAAGTTGTGTGTGGCTGGTTTCAGTGTGAAGGTGATGGTAAACTGATCGATGGGGGTAAGTAATTATTAATCAGTAACACTTTGTTTATTGGGTTTATTGCTCTGTAAACAATCAGGGTAATTTTCCTCAATAACACAGAATTATTGGTACTATAGTTGACCATATGGAAACCTAGTTCTTATTAAACACTGTCACCTCTTTTTTGTGAAAGGGCTTGTTCTGAAAAAAGTGACTTTCTTCACTGGTCATGTCTGCTAAAATTCACCTTCCCTGAATAGTGTTCTTTAAGATTATATGGTTAAATATTATTGTTACCTCCCTTGTACTGTGCCATCAGATAAAATAATTTAACACTGTTGTTTGATATAGACATCTAATAGTTAAATTTATAAGCTGATGATATTTTTTAAGGTCTCTAAATGTTGAAATATGAGTTTATTTAACAGCTGTTGTTTTTATACATGTGTAGGTCTAAAATTAGTACATATATAGTTGTAGATACAGACAGAAACTCAGCTGTACATGGGATTGTGCTTCAAAAGCAAATTAAAAAAAAAAGAGAAATAATTAAAAGATTTAATTTTATTTAACAAACTTCACTTTTTGGTTTTATATATTAAAGAAGAAAAATAAGATTTGTACATGTCTTACTAAGGTTTAATCATTTTTGATGCTAAATGTGAAGAGATGATCATTGTATTAGTAGAAAATACATCTATGTTACACAAGGATGTCATTCAATTTTCATCCTGGAGCTGATTGGTTTTATATTTGTTTATCCATGCAGGAGCATGTTTCACTAACTCTTCAGTCAACCCACTCAACTGTACTGCTCCAAAAACACAGCGGGATACATGTAAGTCTGAAAAAACAGAAACACATTATTTATCTGTTATGTGTGAGTTTGACAGTAAAATTGATATATCATTGTTATATAAAACCAGTACACACATACTACCGTTGCCACTCCACTCACTGTGTAGTAATTCAATAAAAGAAATTTGAGGTTTTTGATTTGGTATATATTCACAATTTTTAAGTCCATCACCAGTAACAAGTGTAATTATGGCTTCACTTTGTGCCTGTCTATCCTTCTGTTGGCCCTTTTGCTATGTATCTTGCCTGGGCTGTTTATCCTACACAACTTAGCTTGTTACTTAAACTTCATACTTGGTAGGGGTTCATGTTGGTGAGGTGGTATGCTATGAACCAAAAGTCACCCACACCTACATTTTGACCTTTGACCTACATTAAAAGAAAACTTTGTCCAGTCACTATCTCCTACACTTCTGTTCACTGGAAAAGTAGATGATATAATAGATAAATTTACTACCAGTTTAATGGAAGTCGAAAATGTAAGGTTATACATACCTGTAAACACTTGCAAAAAGGAAGTTATCGGAAATGGGAGAATATTGTGAGCTACAGATTTGTTCATGTAACACATACATTGTACATACATATGATTATGACATATCTTAGAAATATATCCAGTTACATGTAATTTGCAGGACTCTGCAGATGTTCTGTCAGTGATATATGATTATAAACAAATTAAAGCAACCTTTATAAACATTGTAATTACAAAAGCAGTCTAGTAAGTAATAGTGACAGTAAGGTCCAATATTGGTTCCAGATCCCAATAAACAAATGTTTGGTGGGTGTGTAGTTCATGTACTGATAAGATTTATATGATCCATGAAGTAATGTTATGACAGTACAGGCAAGTAAATTGTCGGAATTTCTAAGCAATCCGAGCCTTTATCAAGACCCAATTATGACATGAGTTACATCACATACAAAGAACATAAAGCAAAGTTATTAACTTTAATTAAGTACAATAATAAAAGCTGTCCTGGTAATCCCTTTGACAAATTAGACACCAAAGGCCCCATGGAAGGAAATTTCATGATAAAGAGATAAATTGAAGTTAGTATAGGTAGAATAAAATAAAGAACATAACAAAAAAAAATCACCCATTAAAATTTGAGAACGGTTGAGTGGTCTGCAGATCAGTGAACGATTTTCTGCTTCCATGGTTCAGTTCAAATTGACGACAATAAGTTTATGTTTTAGACATCAGAACAATTGTGACATCTTTGATGAAGAAAAGAATTTATGTATTGTACTGTTTCAATTGACATAGGTAAGGACACGCCCACACCAACACCAGCTCCTGTCGGTAAGTACCTGAGAAAAACTGGCTGTACACAGCCATGTTATATAAAAGAGGTACCAGAAATGGAAAATTCGGGTTCAATGCAATCCCATCACTTTTTTGGGGATAATTACTAATGCTATTAATTGATACCCAAAACAGTATACAGATAAATTGTGAAAGAATCGATGTTTTACAGATTAACTTGTTGCATTTTTCCTCTCCGTCTAAATATTTAGCAATGGACAAGAAATCCTGGCAGCTAACAGGTGGTAACTTATCAGTAGAGATGTCAACAAATATTTAGTATCCGAAAAGGGAAATGACATTTGAATATTTGTTGATTTGATTATTAGATATTAACGTTTTAATCATCACTAAATTAGATCTTTTCTCTGTTAACAATGGCATTTCTAATTCTGAATAGAATTTTACTAACTAAGACTTCAAGGTGAAATTATAGTTCAAAGTTTTGCACCTGACTCTAACAAGCCTATCAATAAAGAGCATCGGGTCAGAAAATCTTTGTATGGATACAGAAAACTTCTTCAAATATGTTGACAAGCTCCCGAGCAGCATGTCATAAAGAAAGCTTGATAGATTTGGAACTTGTTATTTCTGTTTGAAACATTATTGATGTATAGAAGTGGTGTCTTGGGAGAGCTGATGATTATTGTTCAGGGAGAAATCAAATTTGTATGATCTGTTACTTGCATCGAATGGCACCTTCTAATTCTCGAAATTGTCATGGATGAGATATGTCAGTCTGATGATACCAAATTATGGAGGAGATATTATTGTTTTGCAGTAACTTGTGAAATGCAGACAAAGAAAGAAGCTTGCTGCAACACTTCAGGAATAACTTGTCGGTGGATGAATTGTACTGGTACAAGTAAGTAATTTGACTGGCTCTCACAGATTTTGGACAGATGTCAAAGGTCAAGTACATCCGCCGCTATGTCAGAGTATAAGAAAAAATCTTTCCCAACTTGGACTCCAATAATTTCTTTTTGAAGTGATTGTCCCATCCTCCATATCCTGCCTCTCCTTTACCTCTGATTGTTGTTTTACCCCCACTTATTGCCCCATCCTCCATATCCTGCCTCTCCTTTACCTCTGATTGTTGTTTTACCACCACTTATTGCCCCATCCTCCATATCCTGCCTCTTCGATTGTTGTTTTACCCCCACTTATTGCCCCATCCTCCATATCCTGCCTCTCCTTTACCTCTGATTGTTGTTTTACCACCACTTATTGCCCCATCCTCCATATCCTGCCTCTCCTTTACCTCTGATTGTTGTTTTACCCCCACTTATTGCCCCATCCTCCATATCCTGCCTCTCCTTTACCTCTGATTGTTGTTTTACCCCCACTTATTGCCCCATCCTCCATATCCTGCCTCTCCTTTACCTCTGATTGTTGTTTTACCCCCACTTATTGCCCCATCCTCCATATCCTGCCTCTCCTTTACCTCTGATTGTTGTTTTACCACCACTTATTGCCCCATCCTCCATATCCTGCCTCTCCCCCCACTTATTGCCCCATCCTCCATATCTGATTGTTGTTTTACCACCACTTATTGCCCCATCCTCCATATCCTGCCTCTCCTTTACCTCTGATTGTTGTTTTACCCCCACTTATTGCCCCATCCTCCATATCCTGCCTCTCCTTTACCTCTGATTGTTGTTTTACCCCCACTTATTGCCCCATCCTCCATATCCTGCCTCTCCTTCACCTCTGATTGTTGTTTTACCACCACTTATTGCCCCATCCTCCATATCCTGCCTCTCCTTTACCTCTGATTGTTGTTTTACCCCCACTTATTGCCCCATCCTCCATATCCTGCCTCTCCTTTACCTCTGATTGTTGTTTTACCACCACTTATTGCCCCATCCTCCATATCCTGCCTCTCCTTTACCTCTGATTGTTGTTTTACCCCCACTTATTGCCCCATCCTCCATATCCTGCCTCTCTTTACCTCTGATTGTTGTTTTACCCCCACTTATTGCCCCATCCTCCATATCCTGCCTCTCCTTCTCCTTTACCTCTGATTGTTGTTTTACCCCCACTTATTGCCCCATCCTCCATATCCTGCCTCTCCTTTACCTCTGATTGTTGTTTTACCCCCACTTATTGCCCCATCCTCCATATCCTGCCTCTCCTTTACCTCTGATTGTTGTTTTACCACCACTTATTGCCCCATCCTCCATATCCTGCCTCTCCGATTGTTGTTTTACCCCCGCTTATAGATAAGAGGGATTGTATAGTAATGATTTTGTGTCATTGTGTATGTCGCTGATAACATTGTGTACAAGAATCTGCATGAACAGCAGAACAGATTTGGTTCATCTTCACACCATATCATCATACCACCAAGGTTATAACGGATTATATTGTGATGGTTATTGGTTAAGGTTAAAGCTATGTCAATAGTCACTCTTGATCACACTAGAAATAAAAAGCTAGTGTACATAATACCTCGTGAATCCCTGAACATAGCACGTAGGTCTACACTGGTCTTGTGTATGTTTCTTTGGTCATTGATCAAGGTTAAAGGTCAAAGGTCACCCTTGACCACTTTAATTCCATATGAAAAAACTTATGTCGAAGGTTTGGTTTACTATGTGAACCTCTCTGATTTTTTTGTTTTTGTTTTTTTGTTTTGTTTTTTTTTTATTTTTCATTTTAATTTTTGTTCCCCATAATCATTATGACATGTTAATGTCCTTTCTAGAGATGTTGCTGCACACTATAATAGACCAGCTCTCACAGGACAAGTCATTTGAAATTGTCAATATGAACACCCAATGTCCATTTAATAGCGTGTTTTTTGTTTTATCACAGAAACTAGTAAATGCTGATTTTTAGGTTTATTTTGGTGTGTTATACACTATATATACTGAAACGAATAAGAAACGCAACTTCAAATTGTAGGTTTAATAAAATAATACTTGTGAGCATTATGTCTAAATTTCATATGTAATAGTTAATATTGAATATTGATGTAACATTCTCTAAATGTTTGGAGATTTTTAAGAAAAGGTCACTTCGCTAGAAGGTCATGATTGGTAGTACCCTACGTGAATCCAAGTTGAAATGGCAGCAGTTTTGAAACCGTGCCCTAATATCGTGTGTGTCCTCCTTGAACAGCTATAGCATCTCTAATTCTTCATTGCATCGAGTTCATCAGGGCATTGACTGTCCGTATTGGAATGTTATTCCATTCTTGGATGAGTGCATTTGCTAACTGGGGGAGGGTATTTGGGGGGTTACGGCGATTGCAAATTCTTCTGTCTAGTTCATCCGTCAAATGCTCGATTGGGGACAAATCGGGGCTATATGGAGGCCAATCTATAGGAACAATGTTCTGTGTCGCAAGAAAGTCTCTACAGACTCTTGCAACGTGTGGTCTCGCGTTATCTTGCTGCAAGGTTAGATGATGCTGCCTAACAAACGGCACAACATGGGGCCTAAGGATCTCATCCCGATAGCGTACAGCCGTTAAATTCCCATTGACTATCACCAAAGGTGTCTTCAAACCATGGGAGATTCCCGCCCAATCCATAACTGATCCATCCCCAAATCGGTCATGCTCCAAAACACAGGCATCAGCAAAACGTTTGCCTCGACGCCGGTACACACGTTGACGGCCATCTGCTTGAAATAACGTGAATCAAGATTCATCGGTGAAGAGCACGGACCTCCAACGTCTCATAGGAAAACGTCTGGGCATATGTGCCGTCAACCATTGCATACGACGTGCTCGACGTTGCGGTGTTAGTGGTAAACCAACGTACTGTCACCTTGCACGCAAATTAGCCTCACCCAGTCTGTTGATCACTGTTTGGGGATGAATCCGATGGTTATGATTACCAATCGTATTCCTTGCCGTTTCAGCAGCCGTTAACCTCCTGTTACGTAAGTGTGCCAGCCTAACAACCCGGTCTTGACGTCGCGACATTACGCGTGGACATCCTGATCTCGGCCGGTCACTGACTCTTCCTGTGGCGTTAAGACATGAAACTAATCGACTAATAGTCGATTTGTGAACTCTGAAGTGTCGAGCGACGTGTAGTTGCGTGCTCCCTGCCATAAGCATCACGATAGCACATCCTCTATCAACCTGTGATAACCGTGGCATAATTGTAAAAGGAATTATTGTTTGCAAAAGTATTGGCGATGATGTGTCTCGATGTTAGTGATAAATTGATACTGGTTTGAATGAAAAAGAACGCATATGTTTGTACAGGCATGGTTTTTGATGTTTTTACCGCGCCGGATGTGCATAGGTTTCTCGTCACACCTGGTTGATTTTGAACATTGGTTAGGGTGATAGGCAGGGTGCACTTTTATTTCCGTGATTTTTATACAGCTATGTATATTTAATACAAAATTAATAACAATTTTCCAAGTTGCGTTTTTTTTTCGTTTCAGTATAGATAATTGAATTTTCTATTGCTTGGAGTAGAATTTTTCTCCTAGCAGTTTCATGACCACCTCAAAGTGTTGAATGAATGTACACGTAGACAAATGTGGAAAAGGAAGTGTCTCCATTTGTCCTTTTTACAGAATGGCAGATACCAGTTTCATGAAAAGACTTTGCATAGAGGTTATGTTCGTAAAATTATTTAAACCAATAATAAATGGTCATTAACTGTAACATTTAGTGACATGATACCTTAAAAGTATTAAAGATATTAGCTCTCCTGCTGTTAATATTGATTTCATCATAATATTGTTACCAAGTCTGTACAACAATTGCCTGAAGATGGCCGCTAGGTCTGAAAATGTAAGCGAACTACTGTGTTGTTTTTATCTTTTTAGTTACAAATCCATGTATTTTGTGAAAAGAAAAATGAAATTGATACTACATGTACATTCACAATGTTTGCACCTAGTGTTGTCTAGCGTGAATACCACTCAGCTTTGGCTAAATCTACAATTTTGTGCAACATACACAGATATGCAAATGTAAGATTAACCATAATTATGACAAGATAGATTTTTTTTTAATGTTAATGGAAACCAAATAGGAGAACCAGCTCAGACCTTTATATTATCTCCCAATGATCTGTAGCAGTATGCAGAATGCTAAACATGTGTTGATGTTGAACAAAGGAATTAACTAAGTGTATGACAATTCCTTTCTTTATTCAAAATATCAAAAAATCCAAAGAAAAATGTAGAGATTGCATACAAATTTTATACATTGATGACCAAAATATTTTCAAATGATTGTAAATTTTTAATTTTGATATCGTAAATATTTGACAGGATGTAGTTATGGAAGACTGCTTTAGCCTTTTGTCAAAGTAATGACTAAATTTTTTATCCAAGGTTATTGAACATCCCTTTTTCTGTTAAAGCAAAAACCATAAAATTGCCATGAACATGTATCATGTTTGTCCTCAGCTTTCCTTTTGTCTGTCCATCACAATTTGATGATTGATAGGCCAAACATAAAAGTCAGTCCTCAGTGAAATGTAGATACCTAAAGAATGGAAGTTTTCTTTTTTATTTTGAATTGACCTAGAAGTAATATAACCTTGCTTTCAAGAAATGAAATGGATGTGGTGAGGTAGGTCATATATTATCAAATTAGTTTCCGGTGTTATTTTGTCTATAACTTTTAGCGGCAAATTCTGTTGACAGAGATTTTGGCTACACCCTTGGGAGCTCTATGGGAAAATACGGGGGAATACATGTGTTTTACAAACATTTGTTGTTGTTAAATTATATATCCATCACATATTGCAGAACTGAAGATAACATTGTAGCATTTAAAACACAAGTGTATAATGAGTTATAGACAGAGCAGATCAGATGTAATTGTATTATCATGATGTGCTTATGATGATTTTAATCTCAGGGATTTTCCAAGAATTTTTAACCCAAATGTCCATATATAGCATTTGTTGGGTCAATATTTGTGCCTTTCCCCTGTGATTGTAACATCAGTTTGTATACATACAAACAATGGATGCTAGTATATATATCACTGTGTGACTGCAAAGTAACCAAGCACTTGTTTAATTGAATATTGGTTGTTTACTGGTTATCTTTCACTAATCATGCTTTGTCATTTCCAATGAAATAACTTTAATGCATTTATTCCATTTTTTTTTTTTTTTTGTAGAGACGTGTTTAAGCAGTGATGCTCCAATAACAGATTGTCAGGACAAAGAAAATTTTTGTAAGTGTATATATTTAGGTCACGTGAACAAAATTTAATAAAATATTACAGAAACCTTCCATGACCAAATGCGAATCAAAATTCTGTATTATATGATCCCCATCCCCAAGGGGAAAGAAGGGCAAGACCAAAAATGGGTGGAAATTGGCTTCTTCTGAAGACCCAGATTCAAAATGTTTCATGTAGCATGATGTAGAACCAAAATATGTCAAATTGGCTTCTTCTCAAGACCCAGATACAAAATGTTTCATGTAGTATGATGTAGAACCAAAATATGTCAAATTGGCTTCTTCTCAAGACCCAGATACAAAATGTTTCATGTAGGATCATGTAGAACTAAAATATGTTAAATTGGCTTCTTCTCAAGACCCAGATAGAAAATGTTTCATGTAGAATCAAAAGTTTTTTCATGAATGAAAGGGTCTTTAGGTGCTTTACCAATTTTTCTATTCTTCGGATTTCCCTCAGGGAGGGGGTTAAGATCCTTGTACGTTATGCCAGATATTTTCATTTTGGACATTGAATTTACATTGTTAATTTTAAATCTGCATGAATTACATGTACAATGTTGTACATGGTATCATGTTTCTATTGTTTCAACTACAAAAACAACACTGTTGTTAAGACCCTGCAACCTCTTGTTTGTCTTATTTTAAAAGTATCATTTTCATTTAGGGGAAATAGGATTGGTTTTAGTGATTTCTAATCAGTAACAATATTACACTCAGAATATATATATATATTAATAAACATAAAGGACAGATTTGTAGGATCAAGGTCAATCAGGAGGAAATTTGTATTATTTTGGTTTCATTGTTTTTTTTTCATTTACTTTTTTTTTAATATATAAGCTTATGATTATGAGTGCTTGTTTAATTTCACTATTTTTAAAGATTTTCCAACACCAAGGTTTTTTTTATGTAAGTTTGATTTTTTTCTTTCAGGTATAACACCTTCCACTACACGTAAGTACCTCCTGTGGCACTAGAACTTGTGTTAATCACCATGAATACTTCTACCAAGTAATAACCAACATTTGGCAATCATATCAAATGATATTTGGAAATCTGACAAGTAGCATAGGTCCTCTCTTCCTCCTAATTCAGCTCCAAACTCCATTCCACAACCGCATCGGCCAATGAAATCATGTGTTTCATATATCCTAATTACTAACCAAATTAATGGTAAAAACCATGAATTCTGGGAAATAAGGCCAACGAAACTAACGAAATAATGACAATTAAATATGATATTAAATGACATGGAACTTGAAAAAATTGCCATTAAAAGGGCTATTAATTCTAGGTTTAATTTTAATGGTTTTTATTTTGTAATATAATTTATCAAATTTTCAATTTTTTATGCCCCCGCCATTTATGGCCGGGGGCATATAGCGTTGCCCATGTCCGTCCGTCGCGTCCCATCCCGTTCCGTCGCATCGCGTCCCGTCCCAAATCAGTATATACCACCTAACAACTTCATTTGGACCTTTCACTATTATCTCACATGGGGTGCGGTGGCATTCATGTCTTCCAGACATTTTCTAGTTTGTTACATTTTCTCACTTGATTACAGTAATGATTATCAAAAAACCCTGTATCACAAAATAAATAAGAAAGATTAGTCTCTCTGTTCATGTTAATGTTACTAAGAGCTCAAACAAACAAAAAACATGGGTATTAAAATAAATTATGCTAACTGATTAAAATGACTTACATATTGTAAGTATGGAGTATATTAATGACTGCTTATACAGTACCTTTGTTTGTAAACATTAACAGACATTTAACAAAGTGTAATTTTTTAAAAATGTAGAAAACATAATTTAATGGGAAATAATTGTTTGTTTTTTTTATATTAGTGAGTCCATAATGGGATTTTAATCAGTTCATATGACAGAAGCGGTACAACCTCATTAAATGTAGCAACCATCAAATTCACCTGGTTATAATAATTCATCTAGATAAATCGCCAAGACCTTCAATAATCAAGAGGGAAATTCAGATCTTATGTATCCATCAAGGAAAGGCGATGTAATTTTGATATTGTAAGTCATGATTTCAAGTATTTAACATTTCTTTTTTCATTTTTTTTCTTCTATTAAGCATCTGCAATCACAACTCCTGCACCAACCATGGCTCCAACCACAGCAGCTCCAACCCAGGCCCCATCCAGCGACAAGGGCATGCAGCATTTTGATGGTGCTTCGTTTGTTGGTGGAATCATCTTAGCAGTGGGCGTGATAGCTATTGCTTTCTTTGGTTGCAAGTTCTACAAGTCGAGAAAAGACCAAAACTACCACACTTTGTGAGCATGGATTGTCAGAAAGGACAGCAAAAACTCTGGAGGAAGCAATGTATGGAGAGACAAAATATTCCACAAGACAACTGTGATGCTAATTTGTTTTTAAGGTTTGAAAATAAGTGTTTGTGAGTCCACTTAAATGTGTGTGTGCTCTGCTGAACCAGAGTTGGTTGTATGTCCAGTGTTTTGTAAAAATTTCTTTTTTCATACAGATTTTTGAGTGAGGGCTGAATAATTTTGCAGTTTATATTTTTGCAATTGTCTATATCCGCAAAATAAAGCAAAAAACCTACCTGTAAAAATAACAAATATGCTGTGAATGCAGATTACTTTATAAGCAGTATAATTGAAGATGAAAGAAGTCTGAAGAGGATTTTTTCTTTCTTTTTTTTCTTTCTGATTTTGATGTGAAATAAGCCCTTATCGTGGAATTCCTCTTTGCCCGAGCTCAACATCCACTGTATACATTGTGAAACTGTTATTTTAAAGTACATGTGATTACAACACATGGACACTAAATATGTAATCGCAGAATATTCTTTATAATGGTTTAGATGTTAGAATAGCATTACATTTCTTTTTCCTATTCTAAGTGGAATGATTCTTTCATCCTTAAGTGAGTACATTTCACTTCGTTTCTCTATCTATAGACAAAAGTCGGAGACAAGGATTTTTTTATTAACTTCACGGACTGTGTCCAGTAACTATATACGTATTTTATTTTACAACAAATGCTGCTATATGTTCTCTTAGACATTGCCTTGTATTTATAAAATTTTTGACCATGAATTATGAATATCTCTCTTTAACACATAATTGCGATGTTATTCAGTCCAACTACCCATGTGATATTTTTGCATATGGACTGGTATAATATGATCAATTGTGATGCCAAGGTATGACAATGAAATGACGTCATTAACTCCCAGGCTGCATTACGGCGCCACATTGAAGATCAAAGCTGTTGAACTAGGATGACTCTAAAAATTATATTGGAAGGCATGTTTTTGGCAATACTTACTAAATATAATCTTTCAGATAATAATAAGGGTGTTTAACTTGTTCCCATTTGATGACGTTTGAGAACCTTCTGAAAAAACTTTTCATCTTAAGATAAAAAAAACTTGCTAAAATGAAAAATACTTAAAACTTGTTATATAAATCTTGTATGAGAAGGAAATTCATGTATGATGTTATATAATTTTTTATTTTATTTTCATCAAGTGCTTTATATTGATAATGCATTTAAATCTGAGGTCATATAAAACATACAATAAAATCATTGATTTCACAGAGAAATATAGTTCTATGAATATACTTCTTCTAATTATGACAATTTGTGGACATACAAGTTAGTGGATAAAGAATATCCATGAAATAGACAAAAATTAATCTTCCAGGAAAATTAATGATTTTACGTTTATCACTTAAACTGTGATCTTGATCTGACTTTTTTTTTCTCTTTTTTTTTTTTTTTTTTAATGTGAAATTTATGCTTTTATAACCATACAATTACAGTATTCATAAAAGATCTGATTTATGAAGGCACATAATGGAATGTGCCTTTTTCTTTTGTAGAAATTGTGCCTATTTAGATAGATGTGTCATTCTGAACATTGAGAGTTAAAATTTCATGGAGAGAGGTTAAAAAGATGTTCCATCTGCTTATAAAAAATTTGTGTTTATGTCATAAAACAATATCAGAACAAAAACTTCGGAATATAAAACATAATTCAAAAGCATTTTAATATTGATTTTGATTTGTAGAAAAAACATTTTCAACATCAGCATAAGTACAAACATACTTTCACATCTGAAATATTCATTGCTATTAGAGTGACTTTAAAGTTTTCAGTTAAGAATAACTCAATATTCCCATGACTTCAGTTCATTTAAACAATATATTTTAAGCAATATTCAGGCAGAATTTTATTTAAAGTAAATTATGTAATGTCCTCAGGAGATTTATTTGTAAAGTTATTTATAATTTGTCATCCTTAGTATTGAATTTGATAATAAAAGTATTTAAAAAAGGGATATGAACATGGTTTGTGAATTATAGTGGACATTGAAATTATGGTTATATTGCAAATAAAGTAAGATAGCTAAATTAAGTTCAAATAATTTTCTTTTAAAAAAAAAAGAAAAAAAATGCACAAAATTCTAATTTATGTATTTAGAATCAAACATGGAGGGTTTAGTTCATTTGTTTTTCTAGATTTTCGTGATGGAACTTATGATCAATAGAAAATAGTTGATCATACTAAATTTATTTTGTAATTACTAATACATAAACCATTCAATTTCTGTAAGTATGTCAGTTGTTTCCCCTGTAAGTATTGAAACTAAAGTTATCACCCAAAGTGCTGAATGAAAGTGTTTTTGCTCTGAAACTGATCAAGGACAGATGATAAACAGTGTCCAGATAGCAGAGTTTAAATTATCTGTCATAGATACAGATTATTTAGATATGCCTGTTCCTTCTAAAATTTAAATTAAAACAAAATTGATGTAATTTATCATAGAAAGTGGAAATCACTTCTGTATAAAGTTCAACTGTGCACACTTTAGGTGGAATTCATCAGTATTTGCTATAGCATAGTATGAATTACAGAGATTTTGATGTATAACACATTTTTTTTTACTCTGATGTTTCTGAACTGTCATTTATGAATATTTAACAGACTGTTACAAGAAGTAAAACACTATTTTTCTACTCTGAGAAATATTTGCTCAAATCTATTATATATGATTACAGCCTTTAAAGTATTTTTTGAAAATTTTCAACGTAATTAGTTGTCTTCCAACTGTCGAGATCTGTGTATAAAAATGTATTAGGCTAATCTGTGACTGTATAGAGAGTTATTTTTCCTTCAGAAATCACAGGTCTACATCTTCTTCCATTTGGAGTATTTTTTCTCTGCTGTTTCCTAGAAATAGTTGTATTATGATGTGAGACATGTTAAACAACATGTAAAATTAATGATTTATTGATTTTTTATCAAAGCAAGTTGTATATATTTACTTGGATGTAGTTTTGCAGAATTGAAATTGAAGTTTTCTTTTTTGTTTTAGTTTTGATTTCAAATTACATTTTAGATAATATTGCATTTTCCAAGGTTTGTTGATCTTTTTGTCATGTTTTCCAGAATTCATTAATTTGAATGAATATTTATGAAATTCATTCACATGAAAAATTCCAGATTTCTTGTGAAAAAAAGTATAAATAAATACAAACTGGTTTTGGAATTTGAAGTTATAATTCAAACTTTAAGGCTGATATGAAGTAAGCTATTTGTTTTTTTGTTTTTTTTTTTTTTTTTTCATTTATTATCAGAATTATAATTAGCACTTGAGATTACATTTGCTTAGAAGTAACTCAACGGGACCAAGGAGGTTATGGGGTTTTAGTTATGTTAGTTACCTAAACTAATGCTTTGTGAGAGTGTATGTGTATTTACATTGCCTATGTATAAACTGTATGAAACACATGCACAATGTAGGTTTGTATGGGGTCGAATAACAGGGAAACTGGGACTAGCAAACCTGTCCTGGAATGTTCTGCATAAATTCACAAATGAAAATGCTAATGGTTACGATGTTATTTTCAATCTGTATTCCAAAACGATTAATATTGGATTCGAGAAATCTTTATAAAATGGATTCTCCTTTTTCAATACTTACTCTATTTACTGACTTCAAGATTACAGAAATCCGATTTCTTAATTCTACAGCCATTTTATGCTATATATCCAAAAACTTTTCAATATATATGGATTGCAGATATGATATTAACTTTAAAATATAAAAAGAACTTCGAAATGTCGATCAGGATTTCATTCATTACTGCAAAGTTTTTCTTTTGTACAAATGGTCTGGTCTATTTAGATAACTGTTCATACACAAACAAATATAAGGGAATGTTCATAGCTTGGAACTCTGAAGATCTGACTTTTTTTTTGTGAAACACCTTCTAATGTTGTTTGATATTTTTTTCTGAACATTTCCTCATATTTTTTCTTCAGAGAAGATTCACCCATACATGTGCTTTTAGATGTGATATTCAAAGCTGCATAGTGGCCCCAGTTCAAAGAGAAATACTTGCATTGTGAGTGTGTATAAGTAATAAGCATTTAAAAAAAAATTATTAAACATTGACCAGTTACGTAGGTGATCACAGCATGCCATTGGACTATCATAATGTTTGTAGTGTGATGTTCTAAACGTGAAAAGGCCAATCATTCACTTATTACTTTAGTCTACAATGTATGTTTGGGCCTGTTCAGAAGGTAGGGTTCAAGTTTTACTGTACCATGAGTTGTGAGTTGTACATGTTTAGCACAGTGTCTTATCCTCAAAGAAAAGGAAGAACATGAAATTGATGGTAATTTTGATTTTCTACATTACCGAGTTCCAGCAGAATTCTTTGGTGCATGTTTTGGCAGAACTGGTATCTCTTCAGACATGACTGTCAATACTTTTGAAAAAAGATTTATTTTCAAAGATGACAGATGTATATATCAGTAAAGAGTACATAAACTGCAAGTTTTGTTGTAGTTTGTTTTGTATCAATTTCTTATTAGGCAGATTACAAAGAGGAAGTTGCTGTTGTTGTTGTTTGTTACAGTGTGTTGTTTACAGACATTATGTACTATTATAGGTATCACTTGTATATATGTTAAGTCCATGAAATGGGCTTCCAGAATCATAGCAGTTGTTCAAAGTGCTGAATGTAATACCAGTGCATACCCTACTTTCATATTTCTCTTGGAAAATCCAGTTGTTGTCACAAATTAGAAGAATTCAAACATTTTCAAAAAAAAAAGAATCTAAAATTAAAAAGTAGAATTATGTGCATGGAAGTACATGGATGATCAAATG